AGATAGTTGCCAAAATGAAATTGAAGCTCTGAACGAGCAGGCCAGCGAGGAAATATTGAGGGTTGAACAAAGATTCAACCGGCAGCGTAAACCGCACTTCGAGAGACGGGCAAACATTATATGTAAAGTACCTCATTTTTGGACAACAGCCGTATCCTTTCTCAAAAACTATTCTTTTTTGTTGCGTTTGTCACTCTCCTTAACAGTTTCTAGTTCACAAATCATCCAGATTTAAATTCATTATTAGAAGAGCCAGAGGAAGACTGCTTCAACTTTTTGACTGTGATCGACGTTGAAGAATTTGAAGACATTAAGTCGGGTTACCGATTAAAATTCTACTTTACTGAAAACCCGTACTTTGAAAACCCTGTGTTGACGAAAGAATTTCAGCTCGGAAACTCAGGTATGCGCATACACTCTGGACATGCTGTAAAATAAAGAAAAGTGTACGAACTACTCGTTAAATTGTCGATGTAAGGGCGAGACAGACAGTTAGTCTTGTTTCTCTACACTTTTGGTACCCTATGCGTACAATTGTGATTTTGGTCAAAAGATGTCAATGAGCTCAAATTTCCCTTATCTCTTAGATTGAAACAAGACTTTGTGGTTATACTAAACATCGGGTGTCCATACACCGTAACGTGCATTCAAAGCCTGACACTACCGCTCACTATAATTGTAGGGTCAAAATCAATTAAGCATGGGATTGTGTTATTATGATAATTATTTATTGTTCTCTGCAGGTGCCCCAACTTCTTCATCTATTCCTATCAGATGGAAGGAGGATATGGATTTAACGCACACGAATGAGCCAACATGTACAAGAACTGGCCGCAAGCGCCAGTTAGATCAGCGATCATTTTTTACGTGGTACAATGATCATTCGGATCCTACCTCTGATTCTATTGCTGAAATCATCAAAGATGATTTGTGGCATAACCCCCTTCAGTACTTCCTCATCCCTGACGTGGATGTGGGAAACGGTATTGACGATGACGAGGAGGGCGAGGATGTTAATTCTCCCGAGGAAGATGAGGGCGAGATAGAGGACGTGCCGCTAGTTGAACAAAGTGAAGTGGATCAGCCACCTGCACGTACGTCTTCAAGTAATCTTACGATTGGCGATATTAATCTTAATTTTTTTAGAGGGCGATGAACCTGACGATTAATTGTATACTTCATTTCGTTTCATTTTGTATGACCGTTGGTCCGCACCTAATTTTTTCGTTGGATTAAAAATTCAAGCATTTCCTGAGACTTGAGTGTGTACAAACTGATCTGTCGATGACCGTTTCATTCTGTGCACAAATTTGAAAGTAGTTTGTATTATCCTTGTTTAATTGTTTACAGCTTCCTTCACAATGAAACAATTTGCAAATTAATATTAGTTAAACCATGTCTTCCACTTTGTGGGAACACAAAAAGCTGGACGGTGCTGGTCTCTTATTTATAATCTGTAAAATTTTAATGAATTTTTATTAGTAACATCACAAAACATTAAATTATTTAATTCAACTACATACTACCATTGCATGGGTAACTTTGTTATCATCAATAATACAAAAGTTATCTATGCTATTCCACTTAATCTGAAACACCATGTATAAAGGCTAACTTGAAGCTTAAATATACTAATTTTTTCATTATGAAAGAAGCCTTAATACTTTTCATTTAAGTATTTATTATGAAGAAATATTTTTGTTGTTATTACTTTTTGACAAAACTGCAATAAACTGAGATATAGTGTCCATGTGTTGCTTTAATGTTGTTAACTCTTCTGTGTAGTATGAGGACTGCCAGTGCCATTAACTTTCCTTACATTATTTTTTACATGGGAAAGACTAGGGAGTCACTCTGTAGCTTTAGAAAAAATCAAAACCTTGTGTGGGTGCCCCTTTAATAAACAAGTACAAACAGCTAGCCATCTCTTTCTTTTCTTTTGTTTAGTTATGTTTTCGTGTTTAGGTGGAAGGTCAGCAAGTGGAGCTGTCTCCCCTCGCCACTAGGTTTCTTTACCTTAATTAAAATTTTTATTTTACATTTAAATCTTATTTTAATTTATATATTTATGCAAGGTAATGAAATAAAGGCATTTATTATTATTAACTGAGTGCGTATGATGGTGATTTTATCGAAAATTGGTTTGCTTTGAAATTTCTGTCATTAATTTAAAATACTTTATGATGTTCGAGTGACTCTCTAGCTTCTTCAAACATGTGGAGATGTGTTTGGTCAGTACAAGTGATGAGACAGGTGTTAGCACTGTAGGGAAAGCAGTAAAAATACTTGCAAAAAAAAGGGTAGAAAAACGAAGACTTATTTTTAGTGCCGAGAGATACTAAATACCTGGATGAAATACTTTTTTAAGCAAATACAAACACTGTAAAAAGTATTTAAATACTTTGGGAGAAGTATTTAAATACTAATTATTTCTAAAAGTATTTATGCCTACAAATTCAATATGAAGAACCTTTAAAAACTTCACAGGTCCGCTTGCTTTAGTGTGCCAAACTTCACCCGGACAGTCTGGTTTTTTAAAGGCATTAAAAGTACAACAGAATGATTTTTAGAAAGAGACCATCGACTGTGAGTCCTGCGGAGTGAACGTTTCATGGGCGAATGTACCACGGAGGGGTTGAGGGATTCAAGATTCAAGAACCCCCGGTTCTACATTCTCCCCCAAATAACATTCAGTGTTTTTATAGCACATACACATACAGCATAATTTTTAGAAAGAGACCATCGAATGTGAGCCCTTAGAGGTGAACGTTTTTTAAGAGAATCTAACTGCACCGGGGCATACCCCCAGGAAACAAAGATTTAAGGTTCCTTTTCTGTGATCCGGAACATTGAACCCAGATGACATTGTACATTCTTTTAACATGTGCTAGAGGGTATATGCGAATATTCCAAATATCCATAGAATGTTCTATGAATATATACGTTCGTCTGGCATATTCCACACTACTAATGTATCCCTTGATTTTTCTGTATTGAATATTCCGTTACAAAATTCCCTGGATGTACGGGGAATATTCTTTTTGTCACAATCACGTGCCAATTTCAAACCTTAATTACAATACCTACACAAATCCCTGTTTTCGAGGTAGGTATATAACCATAGTTCGTTACATTTATTTTGAATTAAAAATTATTTTTATTATAGGTGGCCAATTATTCACTTTTGTAATATAAAAAATGAAAAAAGTTTTAGTAACTATAGCGCAGTTTCCATGAATTGATCAGTATTTCCGTAACGATCTATTTATGTGTACAAAGAAAAATAAGTTATGGCATAAATATTTGTTATAAATAAGAAACTTAGCATATTGCTATGCATATCTGATTTACAATATACGATATGCTTGTCTACTAAAATTTCAGAAAAATATATTCCATAAATAAGAAATTTGACATTGCGCAGTTTGCCCAAGTGCACATGTGATTTTTACAATATGCAATATGGTGCGTCAATTAAAATCCAAAGCAGAGAATCTCTTTAAAGAAAAGTTCTACCACCTAACAATGACACTTCGCAGACCTAAAACACATATTAAAATAGGGAAATAACTTGTGTTTCAATCTTACTGCATAATCAAATTTTTTTGAAGTTATCAAAATCTCAACTTATGCTACCTACACTTAAAAAATGTTAATATCAATATTGACACCAACCTACTAAGTCACTGAAAGTGAAGCTGTTTTTTATTTGATGAAGTGATTAGTGAAGCACCATCGCACCATGTCAAATGAATCATTTGTTGTAATTTTATTAATTCAAAAAAATTATGGTATCTAATATTTTCAAGGCGAGGAAACATGTATTGGTTTAAAAAATAATGGACCAAATATGGAGGTACTTACATGGATGGTCATAAGATAGGATACAAGGACAAATGTACAAATAGTGGACCATAAACGTACAATTGTACATAAAACTAGGGTGTTGGGGGGGGGGGGTAGTAAGGTTTTATCTACTGGGGCCATTTACGAAACGCCTTTAAGGCCTTAATTATAAGCAGCAGATTTTTTAAACATTTTAACGAGCGACAAGAAGCTCCTTCATGATTATGAGCTTTCTGTCTGTCTGTGCGTCAATTTGTGTACATGAAAACTCATGAACGGTTTAGAATTTTCCAATTCTGTTTTCAGTAATAGGGATAGATCAGTGTTTTTCAAACTTTCTTTTCTGGCGGCACACTAAAATTATGAAACAAAATTTGCGGCACCCCTAAGTATTATAATTTTTTTGCTTTTTTTACAGTTAGTACAGATATAAAAGATGAGAAATCTTGGTTAAGTATTATGTTGTGTTTTTGAAAAGTATAGTCTCATCACGTTCTCAAGAACCTTTAAGATTTCTCTGTTCTCATGATTTTAATATTATTGTTAATTATATGTATTAGTTTGCGATATTTAATATTAAATAGGACGGTGCGTACTGCGTAGCGCAAACTGCAAGCCGCCTGTCGATTATGATGACGCGGATTCGAACCCCCCGACCGCGCTTAGATCACGGTAAAAAGAAGAAACCAAAGGATTGTGAGAACGAAGTGCCAGTGCCAGTGAGATGTTATACCAGCATATGATTGATTAATGAATTATGAACCATAGAAATAAATAAAATAGAAACTAAAAAACAGAATTGTAAAGAAAAACGAATATTCATTTTTTATAATTGTTTTAATTTATGTAATTTTAAGTTAATTATGTATTTAAAAATTTTGCGGCACCCTTATGAACTACTTACGGCACCCACTTGAGAACCACTGGTATAGACAATGGTCACGGAATTAACTGACTAAATTTTGCTCATTTGAACTTTCTGTCCGTCCATCTGTGTACCTACATGCGATAACGGTTTAGAATTTTCCAATTTTGTTTACTAATACTAATGTATTGGTTACATTTATGTGCACATCAAATACAAGGCTCAACATTTGTGCCGACAAAAGTGAAATATATTTTGCTGGCAGTTTTTTTAACGTATGTATAGATGATAAATGAACAAATATTTTATTTACACAAAGGTTAACAAGAAACTATACAAAGACGAGTCTAATACTATGGAAATTTGAACAAAGAACGACAGTACTGAACAAAAACGCATAATTTTATTTTTTTGTATTCTGGAGTGGGTCACTGGGAATGTGAACCGGTTTAGATTGTATAAGTCGCCCTCTTCGTCTAGGTGGTGGACTGAGGACAGTTTCATCAAACGTTACCTTTTTCTCGACTGGCGCAACCGGATCATTTCCCTTCTTGGCAGTCTCTTGTGGGGGGTCCTAAAGCAGACGTTGTATAGATAACAATTAAAATCTTCACCTCACATTCTCTTTATTCTCGCGAGCGAGCTGCTCCATGGCTTTGATGAGGGAACTTATTTCTTCAAGCTCCTGGAGTATGTAATTGTGTTCACCATTGTACTTGAGGTGTTTCCTCTTACTCTCAATTTTCTGCTGAGAAATCGTAACATTTCCGTAAAGTATGGATCTGAAGAGGTGAATTAGTCTCTTTCGAGTGTCCCTAAAAAGCAATGTCGTATATTAATGAAGTGAAATTTTCATCTCACTCTTTGCGTTTTATAAACTCGTCGTGGAAACTGAATATATCATCTGGACTGTTAGCGCTGTTTGACAGTTTTTCCTTTTCAGAAAGAAGCTTTTGGTACTCGAGATTTGCTTTTTCCACCGACTCACGTGTAGTTCTGAAACAAATTAAAGGAACAAGTAAATTATAGGTCTATAACCAAAGTTTGATGATCAGCTTTGAACATTATCTGAAAATTCAAACCAAAACATGGAAAATGATTTCAAAAGATTAAATTGAGGGGTCATGCATGGACAACGATTTTCATCTCCCAAGTGCTTAGAAGGGTGATTCGCATGCAAAAGTGTATAGATCTTAAAGGCGATTGAAAAGCAATAACATTTTAGATATATAATTAGACATTTTTTATGTTGCAATTTCTCCTTATTAATTTATTACTGACCCCAAATACAAATTTACCACTTGCTTAATGTTATTTAATTTCATATCCATACGTCGTGTTTCCGAATGCAAGGCGAGTGTAAAAAAATTTCACTATTGTAAATCGAATGCGATTCTTCGTCTCTCTTGTTTATACATGGGCGAGAACCAATCCTATGGTATGCTTTCAGTATTACACGCGGTTTTAATAATCTTAAGCAGCAATTCTAGTCCTATACACGTAATCAATTCTGCCTTGACATAGAGAGTATCCCAGACATCTGGGTGCCAGCAGCCGCCATAAAAGATTAGCCACCGGGGATAAGGAAGGAAAGGAGGACCTGCTGCATTCTATGCGAGATATGCCGATCACCCAGGTATTCGGCAATTCTCGAGAATGTCCATGAACTTTCTAGAAACTTTCCATTTGCTATATAAGCAAATAGAATTGTGTTTAATGACAGTCCCAACATCGATGCCGAAGTGATTATAAACGAAGTTGCGCTTGTATGTGATAAATTTACATAAATTGTGTATAAGCGAGTGATAAACAATAGTTATGTTATAAATTTATTATTAATTAATTGTAAATAAATAAATCATGTATGTTACAATATTATACTCTCATGCGGCTTTACCCATTTTAGTTTACCTACAGATTTTTCAAATTTTGTACCTCAACTCCTTCTGAGGTATTATTGACTTCTTCAGTTGCATTGGTAGCATTGGCATCCCTATTTGGTACTTCCATAAAATGCTGTTACCCATCTTTTAGTTCTTTGTGTCTCAGGGAGCAATAAAATCCCATCTTTGTCTTCTATACATCTCGACCCATCTCAATCGCTTTAAGTTGTCTAAGATTTTGTATCACTGGATGTAGCAACTTAGAATTTCCTCCGCCATCTTGCCAATCCGCCAAATTCATCCTATTTCCTGGTTTTAGCAGTTTTGCACTTATCTTTAACCAATTTCCTTTGATGTTTGTATTTTTCATTGTTTTGCTTCCAAGGTATATCTTCCAGTTTTTTCTTCCTAGATACTTCCATTTTTATGTCCGAATTCAACCAAGTCGTCAATTTAAGTTTTACTTCTTTCACACTGCAAACTGATTCTTTGACCTATCTCCAATGGGAAAATTATTGGAAAACCGCTTACTCAATTAAAAAAACACACTACTCCATCATTCATCCTAACATTATTAAAGAGCACTGGTACAAAAACATTAGGATTTCAAGATTCTATTATACTACCATAGCAAGGTTAAAATTTGGTGACGGTAAATATCCGGCCCATTTGTTTAAAATTGGTATCCTAGACTCCCCAGCCTGCGATTGCGGAGATCCCCAGAGCGACTTGAATCATCTGTTTTTTCAGTTGTGTTAAGCGTGAGGCCAAAATTAGAAACCTATTAGAAAAGCTAAGCGAAAAACGCGTAGCCTTTCCCACAAACATGACGACCTTACTACATAGCTGCCGTAAAACAATCTACAATGTCATCATTGATTATGTAAGGGCAATTAGATTAAAACTGTAATTTTATGTGCATCCATGGTATTGTAACCGTTAAATTCATCTGTGTCCATATCCTTACATGTATTTGAACCTTCCATGGCCATCCTATGTGTGGTACAAAGTCGCACTGATCGGCTCATGTGCATGAAATGTTAAAACCACTGTCTATTCCTAGTGTGAGGTACCTACATCTAATTTCAGTAGGCAAAATGGGATGACCCCAAAAAACCTTTATAAAAAAACAAAAACAAAAAAACACAATATTTTTATATCTTCTCCATTTTTCCAATTTGCGTGCTGTAATTCCTCGTTAAACATATAATATTGCATTCTCTGCACCCCTCCCATTCACACTTACATTCAACTTAATTTTCCACCAAAAATGGTCTGATCAATCTCATAGCCAAGTTTTACCCTTACATCTACTCTTATGTGCATTTTGTACTAACACTATAATCGATTTTCCTCCCCTAGATACCATTACACGTGTAAATTTACGGATGCCCTTGTATTTACAAAATGTTTTACACACTTGTATATTATTTAATAAAAAAAATTCAATTACACGTTGCCCATTACCATTCAATGTACTTTTTCTACACGCACCCACTGGAAACCCTGGTTCCTTATTTACACCTATGTGACCATTTAAATCCCCCATGATCATAACTCATAAGTTTTTATTTCACGCTTGTCATTTTCATCCTGTAAATTCATCAATAATCTCTTTAGGCTCTTTTTCCGCAGGTCCATATGCAATAATAATCGGCCACAGTTTATGATTCTCATGACCAATTTCGAGCCTATCTGTAATTGCTTTCCCACATTACAGAACCAATTCTATGGTACAAGTGCAACTCCTAGTGCTTGTGACCTATCCCCACTCCAGTATAGATTAAATAATCATATCAGTAGACAGGGCCGTCTTAAGCATATTCTGCGCCAGGGTGCAAAGTCAGCCGGGGTGCAGGCTTGTCAATAAAAAAAAGTACAATGTGATGTTTGGGTTTCATTTTTTTATTTATTAACCTAATATCAAAATAAATTACATTTAATTAAATGGTACATTGAACTTAATCTGTGCTAATAATGGTTAAATTTGTCAGCCTATCTTGAATCATGGTCGGGGGTTGGGCGATTGCCACCTGGCCTGTAGATCATAAGTATGCAAAGGACAATAATTATATTTTAATAATTTGGCTTATAAGACCAATTACCAATTTCAGTTTATTGCTAACAGCAACGATGATTTTGTTAAATTTATTGATGCAAATCATTTTTTAAACTCTAGACATAAGACTTTCAATGGATTACATTTAAATGACAAGGGTAAATGTAAGTTGGTATGGTTTATCTGTAAATATTATATACTTAACCCTATTCTTAAGGAAACCTCAATTAAGCCTAACATAACCGTAATTACCTGCACTGATATTAACAATTCTTTTTTAGAGAAGACGCCATTAGCCAACCTTTCAACAAATTAAAATATTTTACCCCAGACCAAAGACACGACAACATTTCAATTAAAATCCTACATTTTAACATTCAGAGCTTACGAAATAAATGCTTAGAACTTGAAGCAATGGCCCATGAACTAAATTATGATTTTTTATGCATCAATGAGCATTGGCTTAAAGAAGAAGAGATTACCATGTTGGATATTGAAAATTATCATGTTGTGTCGAGTTTCTGCCGTAAAAACAAAATACACGGTGGTGTGTGTATCCTAGCAAGAAATGATTATTCGTGTACATCTCTAAATTTATCACGTTTTTCAAAAGAAATAGACTTTGAGGTCGCGGGAGTGAAATGTCAGGAATTGCAGTTGGTGTCAATATATCGATCACCCTGTGGCAACTTTGATATTTTTCTAGAGCAGCTAGTTAATACATTACAAACAATGAATTTCTCAAAACCAACTATTGTAACTGCCGATTTTAATGTAAAATTTAATACCAAGGATGAGAGGGCCATGCAGCTGTCTGACCTTTTTCTTACGTGCGGTCTAAGGCAAACAGTTTTTGTGAATACTAGAGACGCATCATGTCTGGACAATATATTTACAAATATTGATACATGCTCCACCACAGTTATGGACACATGTTTTTCCGATCATAAAGTTGTTGGGTTTACCTTTGATACAACTTGCTACAAAGATCCCATTAGTATATGCACTAACAGTAAAATAACTTACAGGCCGATCACAAATGCAGGGTTATACCAAATGTATGAATTGTTAGAGAATGCGGATTGGGGGTTTGTCAATGACAAGGGCATTAACGTAGAATTGAAACTTGATAGGTTCATAAGCCTTATTTCTAATATGCTTCGTGATATTTTTCCTTTAAAAACAAAACTTAGGACAACTCGACCAAAGGTAAATTGGTTTAATGATAACCTGAAACAACTTCGGGACAAACTGCGCATGCTTAATGATATATACAAAGCTCATTCGTCCATTGGAAACAAGGAATTGCTCATTAAATTTAAACGTACTTATAAACAGGAATTAACGAGATGTAAAAAATTAGCTAATGACCATCTAATAAAAAATTCTGTTAACAAAATTGCGGCAATGTGGCGTATAATAAAAAACAAGAATAATACAACACCTGAACCATACACAGAATTAAACTGCAATACTTTTAATAGTTTCTTTTCTGAAATAGTCGACCATTCTTTACGCAATCTCGAACCGAGTAACAAAAATCCGTCAGACTATGTGCAATTAGGTAACCTGTCATTCTCTTTTAAAGAGGTTAATTATTCTGTAGTAAGAGAGTGCATCAGTCGTCTGAAAAATAGCACCAGTAAAGACCCACATGACTTCAATGCGAGAATTATTAAATCACTAAAGAATGTGATTGTTTATCCACTCACGAAACTGATCAACATGTGTATAGCTAAGAGCGTTTTTCCGTCTGTATTGAAAACAGCGAAGGTCGTACCAATTTTTAAAAAAGGCTCTGTCGCGGATCTGAATAACTACCGAGCCATATCTATAACCTCCGTTTTCAGTAAAATCTTTGAATCCGTTTTAAAAATGCAAATTGAAGAATACTTTGAGAATAATCATTTGTATAGTGAGTGTCAATACGGTTTTCGTAAAGGAAAATCAGCTACATTAGCTTTAAGTCACTTAACGCGATTAGTGAGCAAACTTAGGCTTTGCGGCTTTGACAACAGTAGTGCAAAATTAATACAGTCATTCCTAACGAACCGTCTACAATATGTGTCATATAACAATTGTCTGTCAACAATATCGGAAGTCAAACATGGTGTGCCACAAGGATCAGTTTTGGGGCCAATTTTATTTCTTATATATATTAACGATCTTCCAAATTGTGATCCAAATACACGTCATATTATCTTTGCTGACGATACAACCCTAATTAATTTATATGACAATGTACAAAATATTGAACCCGGTACGAACTCAGCTGTAAGTAAGGTAGAAGAATGGCTCAAGTCAAATAAATTGCTAATGAATAAAGCTAAAACTCAACATTTGGTATTAACCCTTAAGCGAATGCAGAGAGCTTGGATTATTGGGCGTAACACTTGATTCGGAGTTGAAGTGGGACCAACATGTTAACGTTCAGCGTGTTAAATTAGCTAGAGCACTATTTTTGATTCGCAATTTAATAAGGGTGACTCGAAGGAAACTGTTATGGCAGCATACTATGGCATATTTCATTCGGTATTATCTTATGCAATTCTTGCATGGGGCCATTCTGCCCACTCTCGAGTATTATTTGGTTTGCAGCGCAAATGTATACGATTATTTAAAAACCTTAAATACAGAGATTGTTGTCGTCAGGGTTTTATCGAATTAAATATATTGACATTACCTTGCATTTACATACAGCAATGTTTAATATATACTAAAGAACACATGACTACACTAACTGTAAGCACGGATATTCATACTTACAATACAAGGAACAAAGAGAATCTTTATATACCGTTTCATAGATTAAACAAGACCAAAGATGGCACTACATTTTACGGCATGAAATTTTTCAATGTCTTGCCAAAACAAATAAAATATTTAGATTTGCACGCATTTAAAAACTGTGTAAATAGTTACCTTAAACGAAAAGCTTTTTATTCTTATGAAGAATTTTTAAAAGATAAATTTGATAACATTTAAGTTTTAAAAGCAACAGTACCTTGTGTGATCATGTTCTCGTGTCCTTTGTCTTTTTTTTTTAATATTATGTAATTGTACCTGATGACGTGTGAAAATACTATTGTATAGATCACAAATAATAAAATGAAATGAAAATGAAATGGCCCATTGGAAATTTATAAGTATGTGCTGTATTTAGTTTCTTGCACTATTAATAAATTATTAACAAGTTTCTCTAATTGGGGTTGATGTTAGGTTGTTAAAAAATTCTGTTTTAATTGAAGTGTTTTACAATGAATTTATCATTTTTTGTCGTAGCATGAAAGTGCTGCAATACAATGCTAGGCGATGCACCTCGTGTGGATTGTATATTTTGTTACTTTTAATTATCAGCTGCAATTTAAAAAAAAACTGTATGGTAATTGATTTTCGAGAAAGGAGTACTTTAAAATGTTTTTGTGGTGCAGGCAGGCAGTGTATAACCTTCCTTTTTTACCAAAATTCGACTACACCAAAATTTCTCGGGGAAACACTTTTTCTTATTAATTTTGGTGCGTAGAATCCAAATCAATTCGTACTTTTTCGATCAGGCTTATCAATCAAAAGTTATAGACTAGAAACCAATTTCGAAAAAAAATTCAAAGGGCTGTAACTTTTGAACTAGTAGCCCAATCTTGGAACTGTTTGAAATTATGGATTCTACAGCCCACATTCTATAAGAAAATTTTTTTTCCGGGTCGATCTGAGAAAATTTTTTTTTCGGGGCTCAAAAAAAAGGCAGTGTATAACCTTCCTTTTTTACCAAAAATCGACTACACCAAAATTTCTCGGGAAAACACTTTTTCTTATTATTTTTGGTGCGTAGAATCCAAAACAATTCGTACTTTTTCGATTAGACTTCTCAATCAAAAGTTATAGACTAGAAACCAATTTCGAAAAAAAATTCAAAGGGCTGTAACTTTTGAACTAGTAACCCAATCTTGGAACTGTTTGAAATTATGGATTCTACAGGCCACATTCTATAAGAAAATTTTTTTTCCGGGTCGATCTGAGACAATTTTTTTCGGGGCTCAAAAAAAGGCGCACTGGCCCGGGGGGGCGGGTGGTGATTGCTACCTGGCCTGTAGATCATAATGGCTCGTTGGAAATTTATGAGTATGTGCTGTATTTAGTTTCTTGCACTATTAATAAATAACACGTTTCTGTAATTGGGGTTGATGTTAGGTTGTTAAAAAATTCTGTTTTAATTGAAGTGTTTTACAATGAATTTATCATTTTTTGTCGTAGCATGAAAGTGCTGAAATACAATGATAGGTGACGCACCTCGTGTGGATTGTATATTTTGTTACTTTTAATTATCAGCTGCAATTTAAACAAAACTGTACGGTAATTTATTTTTGAGAAAGGAGTACTTTAAACTAATACTTTAATGGCCCGTAACTTATGCAATTCCACATGGCCCGCAGTTACTCAGTCCGCCCCTGCTTAAGATAGATGGTAAATAGGCCTAGACAGAGACCATCTTTCAGACAAAAATAACATTAAACAGCTCTCTCTTTTAAAAGTGCATTTGTTTTCTTATGACAAGTGTAAATGCATAATTAATACAGATAAAAATTATTTATTTACTAAACACAATGGATCCACAACTACCATCATGCTCACCTGTACTTGTCAACCAAAGCATTGTATTCGTCCAAAGCATCCTTGGGATGATTATCCAGAACATCCTGTATTTCTCTTCGTATCTGCCCAAGGAGCATTCTCTCACTCTCGGTGGAATCAATCATTTTTGCCAAATCCGTACACTTTATCTTCAAATCGGCGAGTGACTTCTTCATCTCGACACGCCTGGAAATGTAAACAGTCAGCGAGGACTACACTTCACGAGTATGATTAACAAACTTATTGTTGACTTCGCTAAATAAAGAGTTGGAGTCGCAAGTAGATAAGACCCCTTTTGGATGAACACTTTCAACAGAGCTTTCTACTATTGTCATTTTATGCAGTGTGCTGTTAAGCATGTCGATCATCTCCAATCGCTCGCTGTTTGCAACCTGCACACATGCCCGTAGTTCTTCTAAACCTTTGGTTTTGACCTATAATATTATCATAAACAAGTGCACACCTAAGGGCGACTTACCATAATCGAGCTGTTCAACTCGTCAAGCAAATGGTACAAATCATCTCGACTGGACTCTTTACTCATCACTTCCTCATTCCACATCTCTTTCTGTCCCAATACCGTACAGTTAAGATCAACCTCTTCGCCGTCTCCTTTAGTTTTGTTTTGTAATATTTCGGTAAGCTTTTTAATGTCAGTTTGCAATTGAGCAGTTATTTGTGAGCGATCCTTTTGCATTTTAATGAGGCGAATCTCTTCGTCTTGTCGCTCCTTTGTTAATTGTTCCAGTTCACATTGTAAGTTGAATAGTTCTTGCTTGGAGAGGTTTTCTATTTTTTCTTGGTACTCGGAGTGCTGCTGTTGCTTAAGGTGAAAAGTATTCTTGAGGTCTTCTAATGTACGATTGACGTTCGTTAACTCATTTTGCAAGCAACGCTCACGGTTTTCCAAATTTTCCTCACTCATTTTGTAATTACAAACTACAAATTACTAACTCGAAGCCAGACATGTGCGACATGCAAAATGCGATGTGACGGTTAAAACATAAAATTTTAAATTTGGTGAATCACTACCAAAGAACAAAGTGGTTTATATTTCTATGGTAGTCCACTGTACAGTGGCGTACTTTCGCACTCCCCATTAACATGGCCACAGAAGCCACGCCCACAATAACATGGATTATGCGAATGCATTAAATAATAATTAAAAAATGGCGAATGTCAATGTTTAATATTATTTCATCTAGAATTATATTAATGTCAATAAATGTCACATGGCAAAAAATTAAATAAATACTTTTTACATTACAAAATCGTCAATTAACAACCATGTCCCGTACAAACAAAGTACGGTATTATTAAAGGACCTCTCCTTTTCTGACATTAATGAAGGATGTGTCATTGGTACGACTTGCACATTTTTAGATACTAAATACTCTACTATAAGTTACATATTATTGGTAATGGTACTGTAACCAGAGGTCATGGAACTGGAACCCAAAAGAACCAATTGCACATATAAGCCCCTCACTTAGAACCGGAACCGCTATGATAATGGGAACCGTTACCGTTATTATTAGTGCCAAAAAACCCGGTATTTTTCAGTTCTCTTGCAGGAATCTGGACCTATTGAAATAACGGTTCCGGTTCTGACACTTTTATCGAAAAAATACTTATAACGGTTCCGGATCTAAAAATAATGACGGTTCCGGTTTCGATTTTTTTCGGTACCAACGGTCTGGGCCTATTGGAAATACGCTTCTGGTTCATATTTATAACGATCTTAGTTCATCATTGTGTTGAATCTTTCTTTTAGTTCATAGTTTTTTTTCGGTTTTAAGTGAAAAATGTGTATCAATTGTGCATGCGTAAAAAACCGAATCCTGCCTAGCTACTACTTGATTCAAAATTGGAATGGACTTGGCTAGGAGATGAACCTATATCACAGAGTGAAATATTTTGTTAGGATTAACATAAACGAAAAGTTTATGTGCACTGTTAAATTTCGCAAATCGCTCTCACACAAAAAAGGGGTTGTAACTAGAAAAGTCAAAAACCAAATCGGTATTATTTCGGTCCGCTCCAAATCCCAGATGTTCCCTAGTAGATAGAGACGTTGCGGTCGTAGCTTAGTCGCAAGCTCGCTGCAGCGCAGTTGTCAAAGGTGAAAAGAACCCCCAAAAGATCTAAAGAACTTTCAATTAAACCTAACAAATATGGTTATAGAAAATAATAATGTACTCTGGTTTTGATTACTTTTTTTCTAATATATTTTTTATTTGTTTATGCTGGGACACTCAAAAATCGAACAAAAACTTGGAACCGGAACCCTGAAAAACTAATTTTCTCTTTAGGTAGTGGGGAACCGGAACCTATATTTCATGACCCCTGCCTGCAACATACTGGTGATAGTTGACCATTTTTTTTTTAACTCGTGAGCGCTTTTAACCGCCCTCAAGCGCTTCAGCGAACCGCACGAGTGCAACAGCTAAAAATTATGTAAAAATATGAATCCAGATAGAACGTCGTTATATTTTAAATTGGCGCGTTTTGTACCGAAAGTTGTATTTAGTTCATCGCTTCACAGTGTGGGGGCGCACTTTAAACCGTCAAATCTTTTTTGCTGACTATCAAAAAAACTTAATTTGCGAGAATGGATGGCGAAACACCCGCTGTGATGTGGTTACACCACGTCAGTGGAAGCGTAAGTCGCGTTTATAACAAACATTTCACGACAAAGTGCATTTGTAGCATGGCCGAGCTGCTAGTATTCTTCAAGAATTCATTGATGCAACTACGAATGAGCCCCGCTTCCACTCGCTAGAGGGATACTCGTCCTACGAAATAAGCGACCACCTCACCAACTTTTTGCGAGTCCAGTCATTTGTGAAGAAATATTCCCCCGATGGGCTGTATTATTTCTGCTTAGGTAAACTGACAATACTTGCCAACTTAGTGAATCTTCTTTCGTAGGAGTACAGTGTTACCTTCAAGCGTATGATCGCGTCGGTAATTTATTTTTTCACGATACTTACATGGATTGCCGAAAAATCTTGAACCAATTCGCATTGAAGTTTATTACCTCCTATCACGATGATCCCAGTAAGTAATTACGTGCCTAGTACGCCAGTCATACCATATATCTTTTTAAGTATACATCCCCACTTGTGTTTCGGAGAAGTACTTGTGGGAATCTGATCACCTAAGCCCAAAATGGCCCCACACCCTATTATGGACAGTGGTGTATTTTGTGATGAAGTACTTCAAACTGTCAGTAAGTGTCTTTATCGTTGTGATATTTAAATAATTCACTACTTTGCAGACAGTTGAGGAGCACAAAGCCTTAGAATTGAAAAATTTATTTAAACGTGAGACAGTTGGTCGAGCCAAGGGGAAACAAAGCTATTTTTTCTATTTTCTACGAGAAACAGGAGGTTGGTTTCAGTGTTTTGTGCGTTTTATTGAAACTTTAAATTTAGAGACGCAGTATTGCAAGCGACAACTGCTACCAGATAAGAATCCTTCCCGATGCCCCGTGGAAATAATGAAACTGTACTTATCCAAGTGGTAAGCATATCCGACTATCGAGAGTTGTGTCTATTAGCTCTTTTAGTCCCCCATCGGCAAAGAAAGGTTCATTCTTCTATCTGAAGCCTATTGCAAGAGCTGATCTGGAGAATCAGCCCTATTGGTTCACAAATGAAGAGGTGCCCAATGAAGACTTGGATGAAATACTTAATAGATTTAAGATGGTGTCTGAAATTACAGAGCTGTTTGTGAAAGATCGCATCACATCATTAATTCCATGGTATTAGAACTCGTTCTTGTATCTATAGTTTGTTGATTACATCCCCGCAAATAAAGTATTTATTTTCGTTCATTTATTATAGGTACTTTACTTAATAGTATCAGGTGTGTTGGTTAGTGCCCTAAAAAAATTTTCCAGCATTACCATAAAATGCACAAAATTTATATCATAATTTGATTCAATACATCAGGTGAACCTACCTGTCCAGAACCGAAAAAAGGTTTTTTAAATCCCTCAAATTGATAATCCAGGATAATAATAATCAATTAAATATATAAAGATCTTGTATAATTTCTTGTTCACATTTCTGCAAATAAAGTATTTATTTTGGTTCATTTATCTACAATACTTACCAATCATAGTTAGTGCCTTAAAATTGTTGGCAGCAAATCACACCGTTTGGATTATTCAATATCAGTCGAGAGAAAGCAGGGCCTGTTAGATGGATAATAGTTGCTGCCTATGGAATAAGTGAATTTAGGAAAGTTACATCAACTGGAACCTTGGACACACCAACAAATAGTAAAAAAATCCAGAACCATATTCAAGCCTTAATGGACCAGTCTATTGTTGGCGTGCCCTCTGGATCTTGGATAAATGAACGTCATCCAGATGCTTTTAGTAGCAAGATGGTTGGCAATGATACTGCTCTCCACTGCTTTGTGTTTTTGAATCCGTTTTAACTTTCTGTGCTGAGCTTTGGATAACTTAGGCCTTTTGCACCTTGGTTCTCCCGAGCCCTGGTGCCTCAAGGGTTTTGACCAAGTTCGAGTCCTCACATACTATTGTAATCGGATTCTATTATGAGGTTCAAGAAGTGAGTCGTAGGTAGCGATTGATTCGCCCTGGAAATTTGTACTTTTGTTGAGGCTCAAGTGGTTACTCCTACTTTAAGAAATAATAAAAATTCCACGAAAATATAGTTTTATAAAATAAAACTCAATTCAATTCAACGACAAAAAAAACAAAGAGGACAGTACCAGTCGCATCGAAATGTGAATGCCCCCAAAACTAATCCCCCTCTAGTTACTGAGTAAAATTTTCAACGCCCACAATGGCGAATTATTCCTCAAAATCCTAATTTGGTACTGTTCTACTCAATTTAAAAACTGCACGTTCAGCAAATTCCACAATAGGAGTTTATCTCATGTAATACTATCTTCCCATTAAAAAACTGAATTTGCACTCAATAGGCGCTTCTGAAATTGTTTCTTTGCATCAAAGATTCAAAAAATTCAATTTTGGGGCCACTTTTGTTTATTTTGTATATAAATGACTTAACTGATATACTGAAGTGTGGTGCACTGTTATACGGAGACGATTTAAAACTATTCACGCAAGTGTCGTCTACTAGTGACTGTGACTTTTTGCAACAACAGATAAATAGTCTTGTGCAATGGAGTTTGACTAATTCTTTGCTACTGAATAGTGCTAAATGTAAAATAGTTAGCTATACAAAAAAACATTCGCCGATTGCTTATGGTTATATGCTTGATTCCTCTCAACTACTAAGAACTGATGTGGTGAAAGATCTCGGTGTTTACTTTGACAGTAAGTTTTCGTTTTCACATCATGTTACTGCAGTATCTCGCTCATCAATGTCTGCGCTTGGTTTTATATTTAGGAACTGTAAACTACTCCAAAACGTTGTAGCGCTTAAATCATTGTTCTTTGCTCTAGTTAGAAGTAAGCTTGAATATTGTTCACCAATTTGGTACCCTACAACTAAGAAACATAGACATTCCCTTGAATCTATTCAAAGGAAATTCCTCAAATTTCTTTATTATAAAGTGAGTTACGTCTACCCTCCTAGAGGATACTCCCATATTGCATTGTTAAACCAGTTTCATGTCGCTAGTTTAGAGGCTAGAAGGTTAAAATGTAACATAGCATTTCTATTTAACAGCATGACAGGACTGATGCTCCTGACTTACTGTACCAAATTAACTTTTTTGTACCGCTTTACCATTCTCGCAATAGTTTACCATTTCATCTCCCACTACCAAGAACTAACGTGTTATTTATGTCGCCGATTTTTTATTCATCTAGAATATATAATAAATTTTTGCGGAAATAATAATGGGTTTTGAATCAATTTCTATATATATATATATGTATTGGTAGCTTAATTTATGTTATTTTGATGTGCCGTCTGTAGTATTACATAATATTGTCCTATAATTGGAATAATTTTTGTTCTGTTGGGCAATTAAATATTATTATTATTATTATCAAACTGTGCTTTTTAATACAAGGTCTTATACATCCGTCCTGAGCATCACAGACATAAACTGCCATAGAAGCTTCTGTCACTAGTGTTGTGGATCTCTCAACGGCGTGTAAATAGCAAGTATAGGTAGACTGTGCAAAGTTTGAACCGAATCGGTCCTAGTGTTTGCCAGTCACAGACACACACCCTCAAAAGCTTGCATTGCTTTACTCGGCTACTTAATAATAGAATTTAGGGACTAATTAAAACGCAATGAACAATAAAAACTTAGTAATAAAAAAAATACATAAAAGATATATATTTTGTAAATATACAGCCATTTCGACAGTCAACGATGTATTTGAAGCAAATAGACACTTTTTTGACACACAGGCGTTATGAGTTTCAAAACTCGAAAAATTCACTCTGCCCAATGCACAGGCAGCAGCTAACGTACAACACACAGGCCACTTCAAAATTGGATTGTTAAATTTTTGAACACAATAGTTAAAGATTGTGTCTTCCTGAAAAATTGATTTTTTAACTTTGGGAAAAAAGGAGACATTGGAGAAAAAAGTACTACTCCAATGTCTCTTTCAGTTTCAAAGTTATTTATTTTTTTGAACGCCGCAAAATGGATCTAAATACAGTAACCCGAAGGGTGCAGTTAAAAAATTGATGTCGCTTGGAGCGGTCTCATAAATTGGAGTCCAATCCAATTTTGCAAACTGGAAAAGTGGGCCAATTAAAAAGTAACACAAATGATCAAGACTCTCATTTTTAAACATCCTCTTAAAAATTGAATTTGCACAAGCGAGAGCAGCAACAAATTGACAGTGTCAAAAATGGAATCTTTTTTCGTTTTTGGACACTGAATAATTTGAAATGATTTCTCTTAAAAATTGAGCATGAAAAAATGGATTAACACAGACTCAAAATAGATGAATCAAACTTAGAATCAATCCCCCTAACGTGCAAACTTAAAGTTTATTCATAGAAAAATATACAGAAGTCAGAAGATAATACATTAAGAAATGAAAGAAAACGTTCAGTTAGGAGAGGGCAAATTTAGCATTTAAACTCAATGCAGCATTTGTAACCTCCTTAATATATTTGGCAATAGTTGATTCTAATGTCACCATGGACTTCACAGAGTGCTCTAAATTTTTATCACAGCTCATTCTTCCTAAAGAGCGTAACTGTCTCTGAAACAAAACTGTCACAATACATAATTACAATGTAACTGTCATTACCATATAAGGGATCGACAAACGCTCCCTAATTTCTGAAGACAAATGCTGGTAGTTAGGATCACAGGTATTACATTTGATGTACGCTAACCTAAGGATTTCGTAAACACGTCGGATTTGTCGCTTATTTATCTTGTAATGGTTATTAGCTTCTACAAACATGGCGTTTGTATACCCATTATGAATCGCAGTTTGTTTAAACGATTCTAATTGCATAAGTAATTTACAGTCTAAAAAATCTCTCATATGGGTAAACGATTGGCAAGGCTCTTCGACTGGAACAGATCTTTTAAAATCACAAAATACAACTAAAACTAAAATACCAGTTATGTCGACCACATTTGGTAAATGTCGAATCACTCTATAGGTGTTTTTCAGGAGACGAGTACCAACCCCTATTCCTTGACAGGGCGGGATAATGAAGAACTGCGAAATTCTCGTTCGAATTTTGTCCGGGTAGTGGAAAAATTTATAAACTGTCGCAAATCCCACCGGGTACATACCGGACGTTGCACACTCTGTACCCTGCTTTCTTGTTTCGTAACTAAAAACAGAATTGGTACACTATATAATTCGTTACAAATATAACTTAATTTAATTGTTTATTTGTTTTGTAATGAACTTGACACAAGCAGGATTTGACAATCAAGCATTTGGGTGGGGATGGACTGTATATTCAACTGGAAAGGAATCTATAATCATATGTGGCTTGGGAATGAAGTTTAAAATTACTCGACATAATCTTGCCACGGTTTATTTAATAAAATTATTTAAATATAGGTACAATGTGTCCACGGATTCTATGCATAATGTATACAGGGAGATTCACGTAGCCATTCGTTACAAGTTTGTAAATTTTGTAAACTTGCAATTGATATAGAAACCGCGTTCCGCCTTAAATCGAGCACTGCATATACATGTTATGTGGCAGATGGGAATTTCCTTAGGTCAGTTCGAGCATTCTGCCGGCTACTCTGAATGAGGTTTTCCTGCAGTTTTCCTAATTCGTAAGGTAAATACCGGAGTAGTATACAACACCTCTAAAAAGCATTATGCAGATCCCTCTGTAATTGGGCGAAAGCCTGTTGAGGGCCCAGAACCAGAGGGAAAATAAATAAATATTCATTCAAAAAGATTCAAAGAATGTTTGGTTTTTGAATTTTTTATTTGAACTTTCTTTAAATTTTTTTAAATCTTTTTTAAACCCTTTAATTTGTTTGAATCACTTGAATCTTCTTTGATTATCATCCCTAGTGTGGTAAAACTTTGAACAGAGATGCTAGTTTTTAGGTTAAAATATACAGGGCGCTCTATTTTAAAAAAAAGTCCGATAACTTTTTGACCTGACTCTGTATATACCTACTTGAAAACCGAAGATTATTCAACAATCATTATAAACTTTTGTAATAAACAATAAATAGCATATTATATTTTCTTCTTCTTAAAGCCAATTCACCTCAACATCAACACCAGACGAAATGTTTTTAGCTATATAAAATGCTTACACGTAAATGAACATCCAGTTGGGATCGTCGACATCAATTTGACTAGCTCCATCAATATACCACACAATCAGGCATTGGAAACGTGAGTGAAACTCTCTAAACTTACGGTCCTCGTTTGTACACACCGTAAACGTGTATCTGTATGAAGCAGTTTCCTTCACTACAAGATTGATGTCACTAATTTACAATTGCACTACCAAATTGTTTACCGTTATAAAGTTCAACAGAGTCTATAGCTGTTCCAAACATTCTATTATGATTCTCCTTGTAGAGTTGCGCCACGAAGTCGCTTTTAACGAGGTAATAATTTTCAGGTAACCAAGGTGTTAACTTATTTAAGATGTTGTCGGGCTCAGAATGATTTGGCATGTCGGAATTTGTCACTTCCGTGTATTGCAGATCCACGAAACATTTCGCTGAATTAGCGAGAAAATAAATATCTATATTTAAATTACGATAACCATATATAATGCCACTGAAAAGTGAAGCACTTTAAATAAAGTAGAGAGCGCCGTATACTTACTCGTCGCCGAACACTTGATGTACCATGTCTGGGCGAAACGATCGCTGAGGATACTCTGGAATGAGGTCACTGGGGCTGAACACTGAAATAATAATGTACTTCAAAATCACACCATCATGGCAATTCACACAAAAAAATACGGATTACGTTAATTATCTTCATGCAGGGATAATCAATTGTAGACGCTTATGGTACAGTTCCATCCTTGCAGTAGCAATTGCGTTGAAAGTCACCTAATTAGAATGGAGAAAAAATCGCTGCAACAAGTCACCTCAGTAAAACTCGGCATTGAATGGATTCTTCACTGAGCTGGAAGCAACACATAAACACCGTTTGCAAGGTGTGTACTAAAAATTGCTATGCTTTTAAGTAAAATATTCAGTAAACATGTTACCAAGACATTTTATTATGCAAATTTTGAAGCAAAAATAAGATACCCTATTGTGTGTTGGGGTTTGGTAGGCTCCTTCAACAAGACAGGTTTTCAGTCTTCAAAAAAGGGCATTAAGAGCTATGTTTGGTCTCAAGAAATTAGAATCTTGCAAAAAAACCTTTATTGAGGAACAAATATTAATTAGAATATTTATCTTAGAAATCCTAAAATTTGTTAAATTCAATGCAAATGATTTTAGTCTAAAAAACTCACACCATACGCATTCAACTAACAATGGCTCTAATTTGTCACTTACTGTTCATAAAATGTCTTTGTTTATGTCAAATCCTTATTATGTAGGGTCGCTAGTATATAACAAGCTACCGGAACATGTAAAAACCCTAACTACAAGCAAATTTGTGTGTGAAGGAAAAAAAAACTTTTAAGAAACGCTTTGTATTCCGTCCAAGAATATTTAAATTTTAAATATTAATATTAGATTATCTGTGTTACTTTTTAAATTGTTTTTAATATGTTATATACAGTTTGTTTTATATGACTTGTCTTATATCCAGACCTTGTGATCAACTAGACCAAATATACAGGATCATTCTTGACGAGTGTCAGTTAGAAAGATGTGAATAACCTTTGAAAATGAAACTAAACTGATAAGTCCCTTAAGGGTTTTGGCATATGATATGATTGAACTAAAATATTTTCAAGATGGCACCACCTCTGCAAATGCCGGAAGTAGCCATCAACTTTGTTATTTGATCTTAAGTTGATGGCGACTTCCGGTATTTGCGGAAGTGGCGCCATCTTGAAAATATTTTAGTTCAATTCAATGTGCCAAAACCCTTAAGGGACTTCAGTTTAGTTTCATTTTCAAAAGTTCTCCATATCTTTCTAACTGACGCCCGTCAAGAATGATCCTGCACATTATTATTAAAGAAGAAAAAAGTACAAAGAAGTAAATTAGTAGCAAAACACTATGCGAAGATATTTACCTTTAAATAATAACGGTAGAAAATCCAAGCCTCTGCTCTGCTTTCAAAATAAAGCTTTCTCTCCTCGTCTTCCCCAATCTCCCACCTCCATATACTTTTCTCTTTTCAAGTAGGTATAGCCTTACTTGACCCACACAGTAACGTCACCGGCTAAGGTCACATGTCACACCCCCAATCTGTAGGAGCCAATCACCCCCAACAAAAAGGCCCATCGTCGATGTTCCCACTGGCATAAAGGTTACCCCTATTGAAAAGTCAACCCTGCCAAAGACAGATTACCCCACGCCTGAAGGCTGGAAAGCAGGTTAATCACTACACGAACAGCTGGGCCCCTATTCTAGAAAAAAAAACACGTTGGAAGTAGTTAAATTTGAACCTCTTGTCGTTCGTTTGAAAGTCTCAAGAGCTGTAAAAGGTAGTTAGAAGTTGAAGGTAATAGGAAACCACACACCAGGACAGAAGAGCTGCTAGACTTAAAGAGCAAAAATTCACTACCAAAATTGAAGAAGGCTGAATAAAGAGTGGTTCGTGCAAGAAGGAATAAATAATTCGATTTACAATAAAAGGTTTGTGACTGAGCTGAGTCAAGGATAAACGTAATTTGTCTTTAAGCTTAACTAAATTGTCTCCATCAAGTAAGGCTATACCTTTAATAATTAATTTCAAAGCTCACTACACTCGCCGTCTTAAATATCGCCTTATAATAAAATTCTGATTTTTTGTGTGATCCAACCAAAAATTACAGTTGGATTTTTTTTCATTTTCAACAACTAATTTTTGATTTCCTCATGTGGAAAAATCCCCCAGATACCAAATTTCGTCATCACAATTTTTGGCACCTCCGTTTAAAAGTGCGTCATATTTTTAAAAATATGTTTACAAACTCAGATCGGGCAAAGCCACAAGTTTCACCCTTCTGTCTGTTATGGTATCTGAGAATAAAAGAAAGAAAACAAAAATTTTGAGACTTTTTCGGGCGTAACTCTCTAACCAGCCATTGTGGACCTTCAGTTTATTTGGTGGTCCCTTCTACCATATAATTTTTTTAACATACTTATCTGTTACACATTGTATATTGTACTAGGTGGCCAAATAAGAACAACAATTTTCTATAACATTTTCTTCTATACAATTTTACATGAAACAATGTATACAAAATATGATCGTACAAATCAGGAGATTCCGAAACAAAATACTCCTACGCATCTTTCCGTCTTATGAAATAATAATAATAATAATATTTAATAAATGTCCAACAGAAAATCTTTCCAATTACAGGAAAAACTTAACATTAAGCACGTAGTGTTTCTTATAGCTAAAATAATAACTAAATTAGTAAACTTATAATTAACACGAAAGAACTCTAATAAAAAAATTTAAAAAAAAATTGAATTAATGAAATAAGGGAGAGTGATCATTTAAAAAATCTATGATTTTCTAAACACATGCCTGCACACGCACCAAAAAAAAGTTCACAGGTAGAAAATGGAACATGGCCCTTGAAAAAACAACACCCTGTAGATTCTCACTACCATTATCATAATGCAATGATGTAAGTATATTTCAAATATCAAAAAACCTAAAAATGAACATCCTGCAAATTGGCAACGAAACGTTTGCTCACCTATGTTTATATGAAATTGTAGTAATAAAATAAGTCGAAGAAATAGCCCCTTCCGTATTTACATCATATTTAGGAACACCCTATAGCGCTTGATTGGAAGGGTAGGGTAAGCTTGATCTGGGTGCCAGCTCACTGCGAAATGATCTTTGATCACAAACAGACTCCTTGGAGACATTTTTTGGAATCGGGGAGTGTAGAGGAGTGGACTGTATTACTTGGTAATTAATCAAAAAAATACGCACAAAGACAACCTTATTAAAACAAAAATTGCCTACCTGGCTGTCCGCGCAGTAAGTGGATGATGGGCGATTTTGGTGCACGTTTTTCTTGTCAAGTATTTTGGGGGTTGTCACACACGAGAGAGAAAATGTACCTTTTTATCAGCGCACGCGTTTTGTTGAGTCTTGCAGATCAAGTGCCAAAAACTTCCTCTTGGCGAATGCGCGCGACTCTTCTCGGCGGGGATAATAACAAGGCTGTCTTGCTAAACGCGATAACATCGAGCCAGGGAAATTTTAAATTAAATATATTTTGTATAAATCTCAGTTTACAATTAATTAATAAGAAAAATTATTTCTGATTTGACTGAACAGGGAGGGTGAAGTAACTTAGGGTAAACAGGGTCCTATCCTTTATTGAGAGACAGGCTCTGAACCTAGTTGCGAAAGAGAGGTGGTAGATAGCACAATGGGCCTTCGGTGTGCCTAAGTGCTGCCTGGTAGGGCTCCCCTTATGAATAGAATAAAATATTATTATTATATTATTTTACGATATGACCACGTCATTTTTATTTAACCACCCGATACAGGTAACCATTATTTTCTGAAACATTAAAAGCACATGGTTGCATGTGCCGCATTTGTCGCAATCTGCACTGCAACTAGGCATGGGAATTTTTTTCGATATATCGATAGGTATCGATAGTTATCGATATATCGAATAACAATAGGTAGAGCTAAAAAAATCGATATATCGATAACTATCGATATATCGATACTTATCGATAAGTATCGATATATCGATACCTATCGATATGTCGATAACTATCGATATATCGATATGCCGATAACTATCGATATATCGATATGTCGATAACTATCGATATATCGATAACTATTGATATATCGATATGTCGATAACTATTGATATATCGATATGTCGATAACTGTACGATAAAATTATGTTATTGTTGAGATTTCAACGAGCGCTACTATTTTTATTAATAAAATCCATTTTCGGGTTTACTCTCGTGTAAATTTACTATTTTTAGTCGCTCGACGTTTCGCAAACTTAACTTTGCTCCCTTTCTCAAGAGAAGCGCTACGTCACATCATCATCCATGCCAAATAAACGCAGTAATAAAATCTTTAGAAAATAGATCTTTTCGTCTTACTGACGATTGCTCAAAAAAAGAAGCACTTCAAAAACTTGAACAAAATGTTGCATCAAAATGGCTACTTTTTAGATAAAATAAAGAAGACAATCAAAGGGTGTAATTATGGCCTATGTATCGGTATCTGACTGATGGTTACAGAGGACCAGTCACAAAAAAACAGGAAAAGCTAAGAACACTTCAAATTTAGATATACAGTTTCAATTGATTGACATTTACGAAATCTAATAAAAAACTCTTGATAAAGGTAGCAAAGAAACGTCGAGTAACTATTAATAGTCACTTTACACGAGAATAAACCGGAAAATGGATTTTATTAATAAAACTCGATAAGATAACTATCCCTGTCGATAACTATCGATACGTCGAATATTTCTCTCAAATGAGACGTGCAATTACCGCTTAATTACAGCGGTAATTGCATTGTAGAAAGCTAAAGAGCCCTGCGATAATTGCACAGTTAATAATGGTAACTCCAATAAAGTTACAAGAACTGCATTCGGTTATTTTCATATTTTGTTAAAAGAGCCCTCTTGTCTTGTCGGGCTCTTTCGCCAAAATATAAAAGTAAACTCATGCAGTTTTTAGACACGCTTTCAAAAAAATTACCGGTAATATTATATCGATACCTATATATTAAAAACTATCGCCATAACGAGAACTAACGATATACCGATACTTATCGATATAGCGGTAGTTATCGATCTTTCGATAGTTATCGGCATATCGATAAGTAAAATATATCGATAGGTAAGTACCCGATACTTATATCGATAGGTGAAAACAGTTATCGCCCATCCCTAGCGATAACTGTCGACATATCGATATATCGATACCTATCGATAGTAATCATATATCGATAACTATCGATATATCGATAACTATCGAAATATCGATAACTATCGATATATCGATAACTATCGAAATCTATCGATATATCGATAACTATCGACAACTATCGATATTTCGATAATTATCGGCATATCAATAAGTAAAATATATCGATAGGTAAGTACCCGATACTTATCGATAGGTGAAAACAGTTATCGCCCATCCCTAACTGCAACTACCTTTACTGTTTAATGTTTTAATTGTTTTGTGGTTTCTCCCTCGGTTAATATTTTATTTTTTAATTACTACAAGATAAAAAATGACACAAATAAGACACATTTGCAAAACAATAATGAAGAAAATAATTCTCATCATAATTATAGGCAAGTGTTCTGTTATCCGTAGATGGAGTGGCAATCCCCTCAAAAATGTTAAGATGAGTGCACTGGTTATCGTGGGGTGTACATTTTGAACAGTACAGTACAACTCATATTTTCTATAATGTACGTGTTATTCAGAAACTAATTTATTGGGACACCCTATATAAATAAGTCATTCATTATTGTATACCAGGTGATCGAAAATCATTGCAGCCAGTTTGTATTTCCGAAAAAACAACACATTTATAAAGTTGATAATATGACAAATGTCATTTGCGGATGGATTGAGTCTCGGATTGAGTAATTCATGAAAATTTATTTATCAAGCATGGTTGCACTGGGCGGTCCATGTTTTCAGTTATTCAATTGTACCGTTGCCCGCAGAACATTCACCCTAATTAACCCTTCAGTACACACGCTCTATGGTGGAATTGACCGCAGTTGACCAAAACTCGTGGGTAAGTACCGAACCACTGAGACATAAATCGTGCACGGTGGTTTATCCCGGTAAGTTTTGTGCCACATATCCTCAATAAGCCTGTAATAACAACAAATGGAAATGTTATCATTCGCATTGTTATACTCGCCATCTTGATTAGATAATTTGCAAATTGACATCTTCGACCACTTCCACTAAGGAAGGTGTTATAACTAACATGATGAGTAGCATATTTTTCATTGACTTACAGTAAGGAGACCACATACCATCTACACAAGTAAAATCCATCTATGATCCCTCCCCTAAAAAGTAAGGTTGCATAATCCTTATGAAGCATTTTCTCTTATGTACGTACCTTAGCAAAATGTTGCACTTGCAGGAGCTTTGAAAAGAAAGGTGGGCTTTAAAATGCAAGATTCACGGACAGGGAAATAAAGATACGCACTCGCGCCGAAGTAAAAGACACTAACATTTTTGTCTGCGTACCTTTTAGATCACCCGGTATTGTGATTGTTTTTAAATTTAGTCGATAGTACGGTTGTTAAAATCTCAACCTTGCTACGTAGTACTTTTTGAAATAGAAATATAAAGAACCATGAAACGACTCAACAATTATTGGAGATACATAACCGTAAATACTAATAAACAATTTAAAGAACAACAAAAAACCATTTTGACTTGAGGTATTTACCCATATTGATGTTGATCACTTGCATGCTATCCGCAAAGTACAATCGTCGAGGGACAACAGCCGGATCCTCATCTTCATCGTCATCATCCACAATATCGGGTACACCGGTCAAAATTGGTGTTTTTGGTCGTGGAACGTTAGGAATCTGAGGCTCGGCCATCCGCTTGTGATTCGATCGGTCCTGAAATATTACAATGATTAGAACTACTGGTCTCTCGTTGCTGCCCACTTGCATTTAAAGCGATCTAAAAAAACGGAAGTAAGATGTTAACAGAGTAAGGGAGAATGTTAGTAGGCATAGGTAAGAAAGCAGTGAAGACTGAAGATCGTAAAGGTAACTGAAATGAATGGTCCTTAAATACTGCGTATAAAATAAATAATAAAAATTAAAATGTGCTTACAAGTAGGTTACGAACTAAAAACGGGTAATTTCTAATATACGATGATTTTCCAGTTAGAGGCATCGCTAAATTAAAAAAGCAATAATATAAATGTTAGTTTCAATGAAATATCATATACCGAACCATCAGAGCGATACTTACTTGTATTTATAAACGGACAACCAAAGTTCTTGAATTCTTTAAAACACAAATAAAGGGGGTTTAATGGCCAAAATTTTGAAAAAGCCTAAAAACTGTTGACAGGGTTAAAGAAGCATAGCGGTAATGGCGGCGTCTGACGTTTGTTTACTTGCAGATGTGTTCCACACTGACTCCCTGTATTGCGCAAACGCAAGCGCGCTAAAATTTGAATGTGTGTACAGCTGTCAAGTGTAAGGGGTAAATAATATACACATAACCGCCAAACGTTATAATTGAAGATAATTTAGCTTACCTGCTTACCTATTATATGTAGTAGGTATATGAAAATGCCATGTTATCAAGATGAATTGTGTTGTTATCTACATTTGGAGTGCATGGTCATAGAATATGCCAAAGGCGGTATTAGGAAACTGCTTCGGTAAGTACTGTAATAGTTAATTAGAAAGAGTTAATGACATTTACTTATAGCAATAACGTTACAGACCAACATTGACCTATGGTAAAAGTAATGGTAAAGAGAGAGTCCGGTGCTGAACGAATCACAAAAAACCAGACTACAAGGATCATGACTGTAGTCTGTAGCTAAAGTAGAGGTTTGCTTTCAAGTTGGCGCTATAATCTATTTAACTGGAATTCACAGTAGTGACCGAAGGCTTTAATTCGAGAAGAAGAACATATTCTTTCCGAAAATACAGCGACATTTGGTTTGTAATGGAAGTCAGCAGGAACTGGTATTATAAACAAACGGTGGCACGTTAAAGCAAATTCAAATTTTAGCGCGCTTGCGTTTGCGCAGTACAGGGAGTCAGTGTGGAACACATCTGCAAGTCTTTTGTTTCGTTTAGCGGTTAGTACCAGTAGTACCGCATTTGGCGGTAGTTTCTAGCGCAGGCAGTGACCGCAAAACTGTTTGGATTTGCGAAACAGAACTGCTTGCAAAGATACGATGTTGGTCAAATTGGGGCTTTCATAGGTTTTTCTTTAAAAAATGCATAAAATTTAATTGTGTACTTTTCTGTTTTTTGTCATTATTACATCATTCCAAGTAAACCTATTTAAAATACTGTTTAAAGCCGAAAATGCAGATGACTTTTATTTCCTATTTTAAATAGAATGGAATATTATCCATTGGCTATTGAACATCAAATAGTATTGCTAACGGTTGTAGGAAAATTCGCCTCCAAGAAAACTCGCGGCCGGAAGATTCGCCCCATAGGTTTCGGCCTCGAAATATTCGCCCATTTAGAATTTGCTCCCGCTGGATACTCCTTCAGCAGGAAATCGCTCCAAGGGAAATTTACGTTCAAGAAAATTTAACGGAAACGCCAACACGTCTGTGTATAGTCTGTCTCAAATGATTATGTTCATTCCAGGTATTTTCATAGGCATAGACACACCAAAGCAATCTGTTTCAAAAATACAAGATATTAAATACTCACTGATAACTGATAGTATAGCTACAGTAGGTACATTCAAATCCCATGATCGCGAAGCAGAGAGTAGCAGCAGCAGACATAAATTTAGAAGATAATCGATCTCAGGTGTACAATATCACTGAATACCCGCCCACTGACAAATTTGTCAATGATGTGTGAAACACTAATTCCACATCATCCTAGGCAACATACCAAAATCCCTCCTCTTCTTGTCTCTATTCATTAGACTATTTGCCGCAGGAAGTTTCATACTCAAAAAAATTATGCCGGGAAGTTTTGAACACAAACAATGTACTGAATCAGTTTAGATAATCTTCATCTACAAATTTTCGTAATTCTGCAAAAATGCGCTACTAAAAATTGATTTTCACCGTTGGTTTTAACCAGGAGTATAGATTGCCAAACATAATTCATAACTTTAGCTGTAAATCCTATTGCAAGTTTTTCAATTGGGATTGTCGTAAAAGTCCTGACATTTTTTTTACAATAGAGACTCTCTTGATTGTGTGCCAAGCGGCTTTCATTGATGATGTGTTAAATGGTTATACCTACCATAAAGATACCCAATAAGTATATAACTACTTATATGTATCGTTATAATTACAAAAGAATACCTACTCATTTGTGGAAAAAAGTTCAAAATTTTACATCCATTTTTAATGCTATTGAGATTACATTTTGTATCCGTTTAAAAGTTTTAATCGTGATATTGATTGTACGTTGCTAAGAAACTATATCAACATTGTATCGAGGGTGTTTTGAGGTGAACACATGTGCAAGGTAATGCGATATAGGTGAAATTTGTGTAGAAGAAAATCGAAAAATAATCGGACCATGGATTGCGTGAGCGCCTTCTCTGGTACCCTTTGTACCAGCTACAGCCCTTTCATAAAACACGTTCACGTATAAGGCGAAGTAAATTATAGCAATAGCGTTTCGCACCATTTAAAATTGACTTTTATTATTAATTATAAGTATTGTGTGCAAAATGAAAATCTATACCCACCTACCTGCTTTTTCAGATGGAAAATTCCTTGGAGGAGCCGCCGCAATTAAGCACACGCAGTGGTGCGCTTGTGCTGAAAAGCATTTCCCTATTTCTAACCGCGAATCGAAATTCAAAATCTTCATTACCCGACAATAGTAAAACCAAACAAAAGCGAAAAGTAATGTCCAATAAAGACGCAAAGTGTCCGCCTCGCATCTACGAAATGGCAAAACGCGACACTCACTTCCTCAAGTTTGTAGGATCGGGAATAAAAATCTGTTTTCTCACAATTTATTTGCAGAAATGAGATTATAGCTCTTTATAAAATATATCGACGATTAGTTGGAATGAAAAGACCAATACCTCGATCGGAAAAAGCAGCGGGGGGAGTAAATGTATCACTTATGGGAAAACCGACAATAGCCCAAGAAGTGAAATTCTGAAGATTGATGCAGGCAACTTTATTAAAGCTAAAATTTTTTAGGGAATCGATAGGAGTGTATTTCGCGAACTTCTCCACAACACCTTCGATTTGATTACCGAGGATATGTTGATGGACCGCATATTTTGCGTATGGGATAAAAGCAACGCCGGTTTATTGACACTGGAAACATGGTTTAGTGGACTGTCGACATTTCTAAAGGGCACCATTAATGAAAAGTTAGAATTTTGCTTCCACGTGTATGACCTGAATTCCGATGGCTACGTGACAAAAGATGAAATGTTTCAACTTTTAAGGTAACTGATTCGTGCACTATTTACCGCGAATTGAAACTTTCATTTCAGGAATTGTTTAATCAAGCAACCTCAAGATGAAGATCCAGATGAAGGTGCTAAAGATTTAGCGGAAATAGTAATGCGGAAATTAGATAAAGACAAGGATGGAAAGATTTCTTTAGAGGATTACCAATCATCTATATTAGAAGAGCCGCTGCTTTTGGAAGCTTTCGGGCGCTGCTTGCCAGATGAAAGAGCATGCAATACGTTCCTTTCTACCATGAGAGCTTAAATTCTCAAACGTAATGGTAGTCTTAAGCAACACCGTAGATTATCCTGAAAAATGCAATGTTATTTCAAAAAAATAATACAACATCTCTAAAATGCGTCGATTGTGGACTCTGATTTCGAGCACTTTTGAGCCCTTTGTACTTTTGTTTGGAGGCGTTGACCGCCCTCGGGCGGTTCAAGTGGCCTTTTCGACATTTCTTCAAGAAAACAACACCCAGGTATCACATCTTGCATTAATCTGGGCGTGACTCATATTTCCTTTCTATTTTTTCCATTAAATCCGCTCGGTGGCTTGCGTTGCCCTTGCCTCTCTGCCTCTAGTTCCTACAGCATTTAGGACATAACAATCACGACATTTATCGTTATCTCGCTTATTGATCCTGTACAGATAGATCCCGACTTCTCCGTGGTCTGTGAGGAATTGAGTGGGTTCATATACGATAGCTCCCCGTGTCTACGTTTTATCGACGTCCTCTCATTTTGAATGAGCTTTTTGGTCCATGAATGTCTTATTTCCCATTCTTTTAATGTTTCTCTCCTCGTTTCGACTGTACTCCTCTCCTCTACCATCAATCAATCTTAAGGTTGTTTTGTTCATATATATAAGTATATATGGTTTTGTTACCCAATAAATGAAGTTATACATCACTGGATGGCAGCACGTGTACAAGTATTTACGTAGCCAGTTTTACACAGCACAATTTGTAATCTCACGTCCGCCTTACGCAGCACAACTTTTAAAGTATACTACTCTATGACAAGATATAGTACATATCGTTAGTAAACTATAGTCCATATGCGCAGCAATGTAACATAAATTATTAAATCGTAAATGAAACGTCATTTATAACGCCACCAATAGTTGTATTTAATAATATGCACCTGAAATGCAATGTAAAAATCCGTTCCCTACGAGTGAAAGTTTCTCAAAACCAGCCGTACGGAGTCAGCGGTTCTCAATACAACATCCGTTGCGCTATAAATGACATTTGATTTAAGACTTATAATATATATTGGTCAGCATATGGTGTAGGTACCTTTCTCAATATTTATACCTGAGAAGCATAAATAATAAAAAATACACGTTTTGAAGCACCACGAAGCCAAATCAAACAAAATCTGGATTATCTCTATCTGTCTATCTGTCGGTATTCTCATTTTCAGGTAAACGACTGAACCGATTGGAACCAAATTTGGTACATATATGTTTAGACATACATAAAAGAAAGAGCAGAAAGCTTTTGGGTAGAATCACGCATGTGCAGATATGCCGGTAGTATAGGTAAATGCTGCGATAAGTTTGCCTTTACTAGAAGCACATATGGTTAAAATTTCAAAAAAATAGCCGATTAAGAAAGATGATATCGCTCAGCTTCCGCATGACACATTTAATTTTTACTATGTGCCTTGTTTTTCTTTACTAATTTCAAAGAAATGTCAAATGACTATAAAGTTGGCACATTGCGCAGTATGCGTATGCGCGCATCTGATATTTACCATATATGCGATATGTCGCCAAGCGGAAAACATATTCTTGGTAACGATTCTACTAGTTGTGTGTCCATTGGTAATATCTTAATAAATCAACAGTTGTCTTCTGTACGCGCAGACCATACGCATATTATGTTTTAAATGTAGGTACCAGGTTAGTAGGTATTGTTTCTAACAAGAAAAGAGATATAAAGGATGATGAATATGTAATAATACCAGAGACATGGAAATAATACCTACATAACTGGTTTTAACTTTACCAGCCGCTGGTCAGGCGCAGGAGCAAGCAATTGGTGTAAATTTTCTTGGTTCTTGGTTGTTATTATACCCTAAGCTACCGAATGCAAACAGAACGAACTAAATATCTTGAAAACTGTAAGAGTAGATGCAGCTTCGAGTGGACGGACGGAGAAAGTGGCAATAATAGCGCCTTCCAACATGTATTGGAAAATGCGCTAGAACGGCCCTCTGCCATATTCGCTATGCGCACCACGAACATTTGGTGCAATATGTTTAGGTTATTTCAACGATGAAGTGCGCATAATTTTTTTTTAAAGTCACACGAAGAAACTGTCCGCAATTGCAGTTCCAAATATAACATTTTGTGGGGACCAGACTTTTCACACGCCCGTTTAAGGGTGCATCTTTGGAAATACAAAATTAGAAAGAATACATTCAAAATCCCAGATAGTCTTACTTGTTGTGTTCATAAGAAGAAAATGTAACTAAAAACGCAAATTTGGTACCGTTCGGGGGTGTAGCTCGCCCAAGACATAGATTAAAAAATCTATGTCCAAAGCGACACATTTTATCTGCGTCGTGCAAGTACTGGTTGCAATTTTAAAAATGTCCCTCTTTTTTAATTAAAAACTTGTTTCCAGCCCCACCCCCATTAACCACCCTTAATCAAGTTCTTAGGGGATTGACATTTTATCTGTGGCATTATTAAGAGGTAAAAAACATAAGTGTTTTATGAGATCCGATTACCGCTATTGTGGTACATATCAGAGCCCCACTCTAGCCTCAATATTAGACCAAAAAATCCGATACAACTGAATACCGAACGATTCTTGAGATCTTCGCACATGCATCTTTTTTACAACGCAGGGATTGATTCTGTTCCACCAGATCAGCATAGCTTGTAAAACAAATTTTTGAATTAGCATTACTTTTACTTTTATACGAGGTGGGAGGTGCATATACATACAAAATTTCATTTAAATATAACAAATAAAAAAATTGGGATTGCTCAAATACAAAAGTTGGGTTGCACATGCGCAATTTTTTAAAAATTCATCTACTAACACAGAAAACCGGATATTCATATGTTCTTTGTAACAAGAATTATAACAGAACCATTTTTTGTAGGTTTGGGCAGTTTTTGGGTTGTAACTTTTTGGCCCGTTAGTCTGCATAGCCGAAAAACAATAGGGACCTTTCTTATATCCTGAAGAACATGTGTGTCTATTTTCAAAGCGATTGGACGTTTCTACACAAAGTTATCGTGCACAGGGACAGACAGACGGACAGCAATACAAAATTATAAACGATCGCGAGGGTCGTTAATAATAAAATATTTCTATAAAACCCAAGGACCTTGATAAAACCAGCACATTAAAAGTTGACCAATATATATATGTATATATAATATAACTATAAGTATTGACATTGATTATACACACTATAAATCAAGTGTATTGATAAGAATCCCAAAATAGATCATAATTCAAACACAAAGCCAGTTCAGGTGATGTATTGTACACCTGAAAATTTGACAGAGCAAGAATAGGTCTGTGGAATAAATTACAATCCTGTTTGTAGCATAATGTAGGACGTATCTAATTACGATAACAAACAAAACACCACCTTTATCTCTAAGAACAAGGTCAGTCTTTGGCGATAATATCCATGTGATAAATTGATGTAAGTATATTACAGGTTGCTATTCTTCGTTAATAGGTCACTGCGTTACCTAAACGTCCACACTGTATACAGACTTTAGCTACACGCTAACAGCGCCATCTTACACGAAATCCACAAATTAAATTACAGGAAAAACATGTGGAATTTGATGGCGGTAACTCACATTTTAGCGATCAGGCACTAAAATGTACAAAACGAAAAATAAGTAAGTTTCATCCGAAACCAAAATACTACATCATTCTTCAGGGTACTACTTGTGACAAGACACTAATAGTTTGCTACAATATTTCATATTTATTTAGTGGTGTACTTTTAAAGGTTACGTAATATTTTTTTTTCTTTTGTATTAATGCGAAATATGTATCTCATCACGTAGTTGTCTCAGATGAAGATGTTACGAATTATCTTTTACGAAAAAAGTAAAAATATTTTGAAATTTGTACATTTGAAATTTGAATTTATATTAACCTCACATTTTGGTGTTAATCCCCCCTTAAGGGAGTGCTGGATATTACCACAGAGTTGTATATAAGTAAATAGAGAGACAGTCTTATAGCGAAAAATTGACTCCAATTGAACCTTGCGCAGGCCGTTGGTGAGTGTGCGCAGTAAACGACAACAGAACCGGCTTCAAATTAAATGATCCTTAAAGCAGGTTCGGCTTGAGAATAATATGGTTTTTCATTGCAACAAAAATTGAAAAGAAATTCAATGTGTGGTGAATGATATTGTTAACACTGTCTTGAATAAATAAGAAACATTACAGTCGTTAAGAACTTTTAATACAGTAGACTACAATACAAAGCTGGTAAGGGGCTTACAACATCAGAATCGAGAAAAGATTTTTTGAGATTCTGGTATAAAGGAAATCGTATATTTGTCGTGCGATCGAGTTTAAAGATCTATTTATGCACTCAGTGAGTATAAAAATAAGCAATGAAAGAATAAAATAAGTTGAAATTTTATTTTGGGGTGCGGGACAAAATTTCAGGTGTGCAATGCCGAAAACACAGTTTGAATACGGGTAGCCACAAAGTCGACAAACTTCAAATGCCAATAACTCAAATATCTCAAAAATGGAGCATCGGCAGAGGGTATGTACAGTGGCACCACGCTCAGAAGGTTCCTGACAGGGCGTGTCCGAGGACGTTGGAAATTTAGACTGTACATTCTCATGCAAAATTTGACTCTACTAAATATAAATGTGGGCCACGCGATATGAGTTGCATTACTTCAAGGGGAAACAGTAAAATTAATAATTTTATTTCTACAAAACGTAAACACATTTAAGATTGTTAGATGTTCAACACAATTTACAATTCTGATGCACTTCTGCTGTGTAAATATGGACAGTTATTGAAACAATCACATTGAAATTAATAACACTCACATTGACTAAATTAACACACAATCTTTAACTTTTTTCATTCATTATCGTCACTTGACCACTAATCATCATCGGAACTGCCGGTGTTCACAATAAATTGTACATTGTCAATAAATTCATTTCTCGTAGGAATGATATTTGCTTCTAACCAAGAACGTATCACTTCCTTACGATTATTCATTGTTGGTGACTTATTTATTTGAACACTAATAAGGTACGTGAGTTTGCTGGTAAATTTGGTATAAGCTGCTTGTCCAACCACTGCATAAAGTTGGTATGATTCATATCATCGTAATAATCCCCCGATTTACTGTGCGACATCCTCTACAAAACCAGAACGACTACAAGCATACTACGATGTCCTCTGACCAGCCCTATTATAAACTTCCGATACTTCATCTGATTGTTAGCATTTACTCACTCCGTACGATGGGTGAATATAGGTTTCGTCCAAGTATATAACGGGTTTCTTGTCACATTCAGGTTGTTCATTTTCTTTTAATCTTCTTAAATAACGAGATGCCATACTACAATGTCACTTCTTTCCATTACCAACCTACGTTTGTCCCGACACTTCTTGTATCGAAAACCAATTTCAACAATTGCTTGCGAAGAGTTTTCCTTCCACCCATATATTTGATCTTTTCTTGCACTTTTCCAGGAGCATTTTAAAATATCCTTTATTTATGTACAGATCGTCGCCTACTAAACATTGAAATGGCGGTAAAGAGTATAATGTAATGGGCATGCTTAAATTATTACTCCAAACCGTCTGTTTACAAATGAATCTGAAGCATCTGAAAAGTTATTGCTGTTTTGTTTTGTGATTATGTAACTGAATGCACCCAAAAATCGTGCTGATTCCCTTTCACGCACTGCGCATGAGTCCCAACGGCTCCGCCATTAAAAGTCGGCCACTGTAGTTGGAGTTATTTTTCCACGCGCAGGTCGTATGTACTGCCTCTCTATTTACTTCTTAGAGAAGGAAAGAATGAGGAGTGATAATATTGATCGTAAAGTGTAGCCCACATTTGTTTGTTATTCCACCGAAAACTAACCTCAAATTTATACCTGTGAAACGAAATACTTTCGTGTGTTTTTTGGCTATTACTTCCGTGCACTACAATGTACCATTGTCCAATAATGTTTTTAATCGCATATTTCGAGACTTAAGGATCGCATAATCACGAAAATGAAAAATTAAACAAATTTTGGCTCCGAAAATATGGCCGCCCCAGGTTTCACCGCGCAGCATTGCGCTGGATAGGATATTGTCAGTCCCCTTTCTTTCATAGTCTAAGATTTACTTATATACAACTCTGTGGATATTACCACAGAGTTGTATATAAGTAAAATACAACTCTGTGGATATTACAAACAGATCTTTATTGGGGACTGTGCGATATGCCCGCGGTACTCACAGCGCCATCTTCCTATGCAGGTTGTCTAATTCGCTTTTAGTACATTTAAATTTTGTGACCGTACCCCATATTGGTTTGTCGCCTTTTTTCATTGCCATTCAAAGCTGTTAATTATGGCTACATCGAAACAATAATAATCATACGGCATGAGTTATAATAGGATATCATAAAAACATTAGAATGGCATTTGTATAATAAAATATGAGTAGTAAACTCCCTCTTTATAAGGGGTTTTTCAGGAGTACTATGGCCTTGTGCTCTGAAGTAGCTTTGAGCACCTTCTGGCCGTACGTAACATTACTTGATGTGGTAGGGTCAATTTAGTTCAGGCATTGTTTAGCTTTCTCTTCTCCGCAGCGCGGAGTATATGCACCTTTTTTAAGTTATTGAGGGTTGACTGCCACAAGAAAGCAGGATTCTATCTTAAATAGAGTCTACAATGGAGACGCAAGAATTGGTCTAGTTTGGCAGAATGATGACCTCCCCTGTCTCCGACACATACACAAGAGCGTCGTTTCCAAATTTCCTGACCTTTGTGATAATACCATTTCATTTTTCTCTTTTGGGGGGCGTCCTATCAGTGATCATAAAAATACCACAAGTAAACAACAATTTGCAGTGAGTGTGCAATGATATTAATTTTAAATTTGCCTTTGAACCGAAATGAGTAGGTTCATAATGGGCAAACCAACACCACATTTAGAGAACAGTCTTTACACAGAAATACACCTACCTACATAAAAGGATTTACGCATTTCCCATGAACCTATAAAAATATTACAAAATTTAGTAGATAACATTAATGTAAAAATTAACTTGTAATTATGACGAAAGATTGTTACAAAAATTATTTACGTCTTATTTCACAAAACGTGCACTTTGCACAGGAATTCTGTTTACTCATAGAAAGTAACTTTTTTCAGAAAACAATGACAAAAAAGTATATTTTTGTACTTTGAGCAATCTGATCTGATATTACTCAATTACTTTCATTATGGTAAATCTCCAGTTTTTCTTATTTATTTCTACGAGCTATATTTATCTCTAAAATATCGGGAATTCAAACAAGTGAAACCAAATAACTTCTGTTGTAATGGCGATCATTGTGAAAACAGAAAAACAACTTGTTATTGTACAGCTTCCCTGTTTCGCAATATTTCATTGACTATTGTATAACAGAAAAATTTACCATCAATTGTACACCTTTTTTTTGGAAAAAACCATTTATATTGTAAAATTTTTTTATCTAAATGGAGCATCTTATCTTGAGGCTGTTATATCCGAAGAAAAGAAACAATAAAACCAATAAAAATTTATTTCAAAAATAATACAATATATAAAATGGAATGAGGAAGTTCCAATGTAAAATAATAATAAGATGATGCTAATTTGTCCATTAACTAAGATTTGTTTGAGCTATCAATTCTCTTATGTTAATGTAATCATTATTAGATGAGAATACTTCCAACAATTCACTAAACGACGGTCTTCTATCAGCATCGTACTCCCAGCACCGTAACATCATACTGTACACCCGAACAGGGCAACCCATCGGCTTATATAACCTTTCTCCATTCTCTATTGACTCTATCACCTACAATGTTATACTTGAGTATCAAATCTCATTCATTTCAAATATACATTCTTTTAAATGACACTAACCTCATTTGCTTTCTTATCACCATAAGGCTGCATTCCAAAGGAGTACATTTCCCACAATGTTACACCGAAACTCCAAACATCGCTAGCATGTGAGAAAGTGCCGAAATTATACGATTCCGGCGCGTACCATCTCAATGGCCATTTACCTCCTTGCATTGCCCTTGAAATTAAAAAAGCTTAGAAGATTGTTTTTAAAAGATGCAGCGAAATCGATCTCCAAAAGGATGGGGAAAACATGAATACTCATTTTCCAGTTAATAAATAATAATATGAATATACTGGTTTAATTTGCGGATCATTTTTGCTACACCTTGTATAACTACCTGTAGTAGTCTCGTTCTGTGCCAATAGATCGAGATAATCCAAAATCACTGATCTTGGCTTGATGCCTCGACGACAGAAGAATGTTGCGAGCAGCCAAATCTCGATGGACAAATCGTTGTTCTTCTAAATACTTCATACCTTCGAAAATAAAGTTTATTTTGATTTTGTTTACTAATAATAATAATAATAATAATAATAAATAAAAATAAGCAAAAACCTTAACAGAACTACAGGCTCACAACATACTAAAATATCTCCAGCAAAAACCCAAGCAACCTCTCAAATACAACCTCAAGAACAAAGAAACACCATAAATTCAACTAACGCAACATGCACTACAAAGACAGGTCCACCCAATAAAATTACACGCCCTAGCACAGTTAAAAAACACATAACTCCTTCTTCACAGAAACACACCACATTTTCACAACCCACTCGTATTCAACCGCAACGCAAAAACCTTAACAGAAATACAGGCTCACAACATACTAAAATATCTCCACCAAAAACCCAAGCAACTTCACAAATACAACCTCAAGAACAAAGAAACATCATAAATACAAGTAACGCAACATGCACTACAAAGACAGGTCCACCCAACAAAGTTACACGCCCTAGCACAATTAAAAAACACATAACTCCTTCTTCACCGAAGCACACCACGTTATCACAACCCACTCGTATTCAACCCAAACGCAAAAACCAATACAGCACTACTAGCTCACAAAATACTGTAATATCTCCATCAATAACCCAAGCAACCTCACAAATACAACCTCAAGAACAAAGAAACACCATAAACACAAGTAACGCAACATGTACTACAAAGACAGGTCCATCCGATAAAGTTACACGCTCTAGCACAGTTAAAAAACACAATACTCCTTCTTCTCAGAAACAACCCACTCGTATACAACCGAAACGCAAAAACCTTAACACAGACTCACAAAATACTGCAATATCTCCACCAAAAACCCAAGCAACCTCACAAATACGACCTCAGGAACAAAGAAACAACACCATAAATACAATTAAAAAACACAAAACTCCTTCTTCACAGAAGCACACCACGTTATCACAACCCACTCGTATTCAACCCAAACGCAAAGCCAAAGAAACACTTACACAGTAAACTCCATTTAATAAAATTACAGGAATTATTATAATGATTTTTTTGTTTTGTTTTCCTCTTTCCTGATAGCGTTGGCTATTGTGCCCATCAATAGGTATGTTGGTAAGTACGAATTACATTATCCCTAGATGTCCAATGTACGTGTGATTTTTTTTTTTTTTTTTTTAATGACCCTACATAACTTCACCAGACACAGACACTAATCGTTACTTGATTTTAATCCGTGCGATTAGTTAACCAGGCTAGACCTGAGTTCTCACAAGAAACACCGATAATAATAAATGTCTTTATTTTAATCGATTTCATATGGGCATTCAACACCAAATAAAAAATCAAAACCACTTACTTCTATAGTTCCAGTCAAGCTATTTGAATAGTACAATTGCAAGATAAAGCAAGTCAAAATCATAAGGCACAACACTTACCACAAGCAATTTGAGCAGCCCATATTTTAAACTCGTAATTAGGATTTATTCTATCCTTATGTGTTATTATATACGTAAGCATTGAGCCCAACGGCACCAATTCCTGTACCATTAAGTATGAATTTCCCACTTGTAGACCTATTAATTGAACGATGCAGTGATGGTTTAGTTTCATCATTATTTGAGCTTCGCGAATAAAGGCACTTTCGTCAATGTCAATCTGCTCATTTCTGTATGTTTTCACGGCAACGTCTATGTTTTCGTTATTTTTCATGTACACTCCTGTAAAAAAACTTCATAAACTTATTTAAAATGTATAAGCGGTGTAAACAAAGATAAATCAGACTTTAAAGCTCATATATACATATACATATTTTTTTTAATATTTGAATTTATCTACCCAAAGTATTCAAAATCTGAAAAAACACCTCAAGGTGGAAAATGGCCAAAGATTAAGAGCCGTAGCCTAGTGCCCTAACCACAAAGCTACCCCTGTAAAAATTTCAAACAAACAAGAATTCTCTTACGAAAACTGAAAAAAAATAGGGTGTACATAATCATGTATTATATGCCCTAAGTGAAATACGCGCATGCCCAGAAAAAATATAATTTTTATAATTTAAACGTACTAGCATAACGTCAATCTACTGACATTACACATCTCTAAACTTACCAATTACAGAGTGCAGCACTTACCTCGAAAAACAGCGCCAAATTCGCCAGCACCGATTCTTTGTTTTAACTTTAAATTTTCGGGAAGAATCAGCCCCTCTTTGATAATACCATTTTCGTCCTTCCCGGGCAGATAATTATTATTATTACTAATATTAGTAGCAGGCACTATGGTAGACGAGAAAGATATGTTACACAATTGGTTCGATATGCTACCGAGACTGTTGGAATGGGGCTCGGGCCAATTCATCATTTCTTGAATGGATCGGGAAGCGACTAACATTTTTTGCTGTCTTGGCAACATTTTGAACTAAAACATTTGCTTTATTTTTTACTCTTTTAATGCGAAAAACATACTTCAGGTACAGGCGGTTTTGGCTGCGGCGGTACTGGGTATTTTAAAACCGTCGGTAAACCATCCGAAATAAAACTATAATACTCTATTATATGCTCCAACGAATTTAATAACGGTCCATTGTCGATGAACAAGTGTTTACCCTGCAATTATATTATAAATACATTCATATTGGAGGTACTGGCAATACCTGAACGCCTATAATGTAATTATAGACTGAATCATCGTTTAGTAACGTTAAAACGTTTGTGGAATTACGATCAGTAAACCTCACTAAAAATGTTCCATTTTTGTTACTATACCGACGGATTAAATTTTCGGCTTCTTTCCTATCCAATGTACCGTGATACCACTGCTTCTTAGATGTCTTCGGTTCAGGTGGCTGGTATTTTTCTAAAAGAGTGTAATTCAAAAACGTATTAAGAGTAGACTGACCGCGGCTGTCAAGCCTCAAAAGTAAAAAGCATCTAAAGCTCAAATCTTGTTAAACAATTTCAATCCAAACACTTTCTTATGAAAACCTCATTTATTTTAAGATGGATCTAGGTGTCTAGAGCTCAATTTTAAAGAGGAAGTCACTGGCGCAAACAGAATTCAACTATCTCTAATCGTTTGGCCGCTAGGGAGCGTTTAGTCCACAACTAAGAAAGCGATGTGCTGCACATGCGCAAGAATGGGTCGAGGGGGGCACACTTTCAGTAGAAAAAATCTATTTATTTATAACATGGTAGTGTAGTTTATTTATTTACAATTTCCAATAGCAACAATTGATTGCCCATGCAAATAGTACACAAACTCATAAAAAGCACGTTGAGCCCCACAAATGTAAATTTTTTCTAAGAAGCTGTGCAATGCTATTATCTATACAGCTAATTCAGAAATAATATTAAACACCCGAATACTCGAATGTAAAAAAAACTGTACTTCATTGCACCTCTCCATATGAAGAATATATATATAAATCATTTTTTGATATCCTCGCTAATTTTCGCAATAATAGACTGTTTCAAGCTAACACCCTGTATATAAATTAATTAAGTGGCATTCAAATATATAAAATAATAAAATAAAAATAAATAAACTTGTAGTCACAAAGTTTACCGCACCTCACAAAAGAAATGACTGCTACACCCGAATTAGTCTCGCTTATGCATGTGCACTTAACACCAATAAATCATCCTCGGAAACTGAAAAAATGCTGGCTTCAAAAGTACTGTATTTCTTTTCGTTTTGTTCCGAATTCCGTGTTTTTGTTATACTCGGACATAAACGAAATTTACCCTTTATTAAATTAATAATTCGAATTAGTTTAAAAAGTGTTTGTTTTTATTTATTTTATTCGTTCATATGCTTAATGAACATCAAATGACCAGTTTCATACAAACAGTGAAGGCTATTTCTACCTTCACTTTCATTTGCTCAGCAGATTTATGAAGGGCAAAACAGATATAGGGGCATAAATAAAATGCATATTTACACAAGTTGAAGTGATTACAGCATTTCTTATTGAGCTATGCTGCACAACATCCTATTCATAATATGCCACCTGTTGTATTTGTAAAGGTACCAGTTATAACTTTATTTATAATTTACTAGCAGACATAAGCTGCGCCGCCCCACCTCGCCCACGTTTATTACATTAGAAACCTTCACGGGCATACGTAATTGATATGTTTGACCGTCTATTTTTTTACCATTTGCCTAAAGTCAACGGTATGGATTTCTAGACCCGTAGTAGACCTCGCTTTGGTGCCATCTATTACCTATATTGCGATTTAAAATGATGGAAAACAGAAAAATTGTTTTTTTACATCTTTCCGTACAATTTTTTGGAAATTATCTTTAATAGAAACCTTGTCCTGATAACAAACCCAACAAAAGAAGAATTATCTAATTTGGTCCAGTTGTTCCGAAATTCATTTTTAGTTATATAGATTGATTGATTATTGTGCACGTTGTTGGCATGCAATGTTGTTAAAAACATTAAAAATAAGAAATTATTGAAAAATTAAATATTTTGTGGATGCCATTAGGGCATCAATATATTATCCGATGAATTTAGTGGGTGAATTTGTACGCCCAAACGTACACAAAATCTACCATTAGATGCTTTTTAGTTTCCATAACTTGAACCCATCGGGCAACAATATAACAAATTACCTAAAATGTCTGCACATTCAGTATGGTTATTGGTATTGGCAAGATCGTAAGGTAGAAGATTGTTTTTAGATCTCGGATTAACAGGCGCATTGAGACTTAAAAGTTCCTTAATCACATCTTTATGACCTCCACTTGCGGCTTCGTGCAAGGGAACGTGCTCATCCTCGGTACTTCGCAGTTGAATATTCGCATGTCCAATTTGAATTAAAAGTCGTACTGTACTAGGAAAATTATTCCGAGCCGCATACTGTAAGTAAAAATTGAAGACCCCTGAAATTGGGTTTTTATACCTACATGCAAAGGTGCAAAACCTGCCATATCTCGAGAGTTCACATTAAGACCCTTATCGATTAAATCGCGCAGAATGTCATCTTTTCCCAACATACTCGCGATGTGAACGGCAGTTTGACCCAGCGAATTTTTCGCATCGAATTTATAGTCCGACTTCAACAAGGCGGATACCACCTTATTTCCACCGTAACTTGTCGCACGATGAAGCAGGTTAGTACGGCCATGTCGACGAGTTTCATGCGGTGGCACATCACCCTTACAGGGCTCTGTAAGAAATAGAGGTATTGCTTGGCCATGTGTCGGATCCTGGTAATACTCGATCAGGCTATCCAATCCGTGTATTTTAACGTTGTCCTCTGAAAGCAAAATACTTCATTAAAAACTTGGTCATGTTTTTTATTTGATTTTTTGTAGGTGGAGGGAGGTAGGCGCTGAAAAAGCCCTAAAAACCTTGAAAAGTGCCTGGATTGCTCTAGTAAAAACCGGACAGGAAGCCTTGTAAGAATCCTAGAATTCTTTGTAAAGGGCAAAACTCCTCCAAAAGTACACACTAAGGAAATGAGCTCAGATACTTCTACGTGCCGGTTCCTATACCTAGTGATTTTCCTTTACAAAATTACCAAGTTAGTTACCATTTGATAGTAATTGCAATTGTAAAACAATGACTGTAGGTATGTTTATTACTCACCAAGTGAAAAAAACGCATCATCAGAATGTGCCCTTATTTGAAAGTGATTCACTTTATTATTCTGTAGAACAGACAAAGCATAATCTCCAATAGACGTGAAACTGTCCCTAACTAAAAATGATCCGTCCGCTCCCGAACCTAAAAGTATAATATACAAAATCTTAAATTCGATAACATGTCAATTACGATTACCTTGACGTAAAATTGCTTCGGCTTGTTCCCTCGATATTTTGCCATGGTACCAACAAATATCTTCCTCGGAAGTCATTGTTTATAACAAATTACGTCAAAGGATCATCACAAAATACACAAAATCCAAACCTGAAACATTAACCACATCAAACACCTTTCAAATGTAAATAAATACACAAACCGAAGTTTGATTTACGTCTTAATTATTCTTCCTCAAATTGGTCGCCTCGACTCTATTCCATAATCACATTTCAAAATCCACATAAATTAGGTGGAAGAACTTGTGTTAAAAACGATAAAAAAACAAATTTGTCACTGAAAACCAGACCTAGGTGACTTACAGTTCGGAAACTAACTGACCAATCAGAATGCGTACTGTAAGCCCGCCCTGTCAATGGCGGGAATTTAAATTCGATACAGCTAGAAATTTAGAAGTGCAAAAATGTGGAGGTCATGCTGTACAATAGCCATCCATTTGAAAGAAGTTAGCGAGAGAAGGATTGACAGCACAGTACAATAATAACGAAGACTTCGCTTTGGTACCTAGGAAAATTGTTACTCTCCTATACATTGGGCGCCCTAAGCGAAGAGAGGCAACCTTTCCACCAGAATTATGGACTGTTTTTGAAAGAACGTTAAATGACGATGAAGGGAATGAAACACGACGATCATATAATTCTAGGGCTTCAATAATTACTGTTCCCTAAGTCTAAAACGTGTTTCAGGATAAATTGAATCAAATGACAGCAATTTGTGGTGCATTTTTTTTGCCATTTTTGAAAAATGGGGGGTTTTGGCAATTTTTACGGTATTTTCAGCATTTTTTTGAGTTTTTGTGTGTTTTACTTTGAATTTTTTGCATTTTTTGAGGAATAGCGCTAATTTTTTTGATATATTACGGTATTTTTCTTGGCGAACTTTTATAAACCTTTGTTAAGGTTTTATTTTTCATGCAGTCTTAGATTTCTAGAACACATAATGCAATATTTTTCCTTTCGCGGTATTTCCGGGTATTTTTACCTGTTTAGGAATGACGCCTAAACCCTCCATTATAAGCTAAAGGCATAGTTAATGTTTTCTTGGAACGTAATCATCCCCAAACGAATCCCCACTAAGGGATTAATTTTCTTTTGTATGCGGTAAGTCAGTAAGTGAGCCGGTAACTTACATCAAAGAGTGTATAATGATCTTTGCTTACATACATACCTACCTGCTTTCTATACGACAGGCCTGCAGAGTGCAGGGAGTGGAAATGAACCAACAATGTCTTATCTTACCTAATTGCATCTTAAAATAATTTTACGGTCTTATTCAGTTTCATCCATAAAATGTTGTCATTTAAAATGTCATCTTTTTAAATTTTCATTTTTGCAAGATTTTTAAGTCATAATTGCATTTTTTATTTCGCATTTTCGCTGCAATTTTAACGTCATTAAAATCCCAGCCCTAAAACCCATAGACATTGCTAAAACCACTAAGATCACGGTTGCGATGAGAATATAATGGGCAGGTAGAAAATACGGCGAAGGACTGATGGAGGTATCAAAGGGGCACCATAACCAACGCGCTCAAAGAATTTGAGTATCCGAGACAAGTAAAACTAGCAGAGGGTCCACATGGGTCAGTACTTCGGTATTCAGCCTGTGGGGTCACTCACTCGTAAAAAAAGTGCGCAACCGAATTGCACGTCAGTGTTATTATTACAATAGGTAATAATTTTTGTAAATCATGTAGTCATGAATTTTTTCTTTTCAATTCTAGAACTATTCAAATATAGCACACTATGGAAACAAATTTATCACAGCCTAGATTCCAATGTTTAGCTAATACGGCTCTGTACGATCATGCCACCAGGACGACCCTGTCACCCTAATCAGTATTTTTTGTTTTTTGTAGTTGGTTTCCACTGGTATTTCTCAAAAAATTATAAATAAAAAAGATCATAATAATTTGTTTGTTAAAGTTGTATTATCTCTCTTGTTACCAATTTATCTGGAAGGTAATTTAAAAACAACGCCAAATTCAGTACAGTACACGTGGTACGCAACACGTACGCAAATGTAAGGTTAGGTTAGGCCGTGCATTTTCGTCGGGGGGTCTACTCTTATCAACAAATAAACAATTCAATTTGCAATATTTACAGAGTGGTATCACGATTTACACTCGAACGAGCACGCATTAAATTCTGTTGTGTAACGCTTTTCATGAGTATTTAGTGTTCTTATCACGTGCTCGTTAAACAAGAGGAACCTTTTTGAGCGATGAACTTATTTGCTCTCAGTCTGCTGATAACGAGATTAGGTTTGACCTTAAGTAAGATATTGTGACTTTTGAGTTCTGTTTTATATAAAACGTCTGCCAGTCGTTGATCAAAGCACTTGCTATTTGTGTAGTGTTGAATACACATTCTCTGCTATTAAAAGTATCAATCAAGTGTTTTGTGTATTTTAAACCAAAGTTTGTGAATTTTGATTTTTAATTTCAAAGAGCGTAAGTTAATTTTTTATCGTGGGAGCAAAGGAAGGAATGCTTACTGGATACGGAGACTGTCTTGGCATCCGGACTAGGACGAGCTCATTGCACCACACCTGGAAGTGGCTACATCAAACAATCACCTTGCACGAATACATCATTTCTCTAACAACATCTCATAAAAACGCCGAATCGCAACAAGCTAAGTACCAATAAGTTTAGTGTTCGGCACAACACCTACAGAACTTTTAACGACTGTTTGTGATTAGCTACTCCTGCCTTAGTAATAAGCAATAATAATACGAAATGGCTCTAGTACAATTCGCAACTAGAATAAATTTCTCGACCGCCAGAATGGCCTGTCGGCAACTTTCATCCAAGACCGTCACCGAAAATGTGAAAAAATCCGTGTTTATTTCACAATCAACGGATGTGTTTACAAATTTAGCCCTCGAAGATTGGTTGTATCGTAACTTCGACTTTAACAATCATCACATTTTGATGGTGTCGCACAACGACCCCTCTGTCGTTATTGGAAAACACCAGAATCCTTGGAGCGAAACCAATATGCCAGAACTTGCACACATCACCAATTCCGGTGTACAGGTGGCCCGTCGCAATTGCAACGGACCTGCGGTGTATCATGATCAAGGAAATCTCAATATGACCTTTTTTACCCCCGCAAACAAATCTAACCAGGGCCACGACTTGGAAATGCTGACAAGGGCATTGTTCCGGAATTATGGTATCGAAGTGAAGAGTATGGCTAATAATGTTATGTCAGTTAGACATTTAAAGGTAGGGTGCTGTGTGTGTTTTATACATTTTTCATATTTTGTTTCTTTAGGTTTCCGAGAACTCCGCAAAAGTAGGTCGTACCAATGCCTATCACCAGTGCACTCTGTTTGTTAATGTCGATAAAGTGGACCGGACCCTCGCCCTCCAGCAAACAATTGTAAGTATTCGATTACTACGCTTCATTTTTGATAATCAGTAATTCATTATACAACAGACATCTAATCGTAATGTGTAGACTTTGTAGCCCACACTTAACTGATAAGGATGCCATAAATAAAAAACAAACTGACACAATTACTTTTTTGATAAAAACGATTACAACAAATATGCCTATTTCGCAATATTATTTAATTTTAGTCTGGAATACAAAGCAGCGGGCCCCAATCGGAACACTCGAAGATATTCAATCTGTGCGAGGAGTATCCCAAAATATGCACGGCGGGAGTACTACGAGCAATCGGATGGGAGTACCTGAGAACACCCGTAAACTCCTTAAAGGATGGTGGTCAAGATCTTGCGAGCAAGCAGAACGGATTTCAGATGATTAATCCTACCGAACGATGGTTTCCTGGTAAGTCAGTCACATGAAACTAGCACATCATTATCAATGAAACTGTGCTGTGATTTTTTCAAATAAGCGGAATTTTTGAAAATTTAAACTTATAGGGTAATTTTGATAAACTTTTAACTAGAACTTGCAGGTGCAAATAAAATTCCCCCAATTTATGATAGTGATTTGCACAGACACACTAAATGCCATGGTTTGTGTTTGATTGGCTCATTTTTAGGTATAACCGAGTTGCGCAATAAATTTTCCAGCTGGGATTGGTGTTTTGCTAAAACCCCCAAGTTTACCGTGACAAAGACGTTCTCCGTCTCGCAAGAATTTATGAACGGTTCCGGTGATCTACGTGTTACAATGGTCGTGGAACACGGTCGCATCAGTGATATTACTGTACAAATTCCTTCTGGTTTGTCGACTGGATTTAGTGGAACCGCTAATGCCATCACCAGTCTCAAATATCAGAAATTTTCGGAAGATGCCATCAATGCTCTTCAACAATCCATATGTGGAAGTGGTTATGGTTTACTTGATGATAAAGATAAGTTTGGTACTGATTGTGTCCGACAAGTCATGACCTCTATGTAAATTTCTCTTTCATTGTTTCCAATAGTATTTACCTCTCGAACGTATTTTAGATGAGAGAAAAATAGTTACCAACATTTTATTTTTAAGTGCAGTATAATCCCATTTATTAATGTAATCATTGTATGTTTTAATACATTGGTCCTATAATTATTAAGGACATTTCATACTTTACTAACGCTCCCTACCCTTGTTAGTGTAATTTGTATACAATGTTAGTCAACAAATGTGTGGAGTATAAAATGTTTTGTGTGTGATATTTTAGAAAGTGACTTTTGCTAGTGCCATTTTAATTATTATTTAGTTTAGTTTATAACCACTGTCTCGCACAGTCAACAAGAATTAATCATATCATTTATTTTTTAAGTTACTTTACCTAGTTTTTAATTTTGAATAATTATTCTACACGTCATAATTAATATTATTTTAGTTCTTAACGAGCTTACCTATTTAAGATTATTTTAGTGATTATGCTATTTATCTTGTGATATATTAATTGTACTGCAGGTGTTGTGCCTTTGTAGAGACAGATATTGTTATAGGTTAATGGGATTATCAATAAAGGTTGTTGTTATAATTAGATTGTTTTTTAATTCAAATTTAACCTTTGGTACTACTTATGGGGGACATTTACAGATAATGTTGTAATCTCGTGTTTGATAAAAATTTGTTAAGGAGATAAGGATAACTGGTGCTGGAGGTCCCACTGGGGAGGACATCGCCCCTGTTGTGTTTTACCACCAGTGCAGGTCGATTTACGTTTTATCTACTTAAACATAATCAAAAATAACTTTTGGCATTATATTTGTTTGCGTCGCGGATCAGTTCAAATGGCATCTTTGGGCATTTTAATGACTCAAGCAAAACAATACTTAATTTAAATTTTTGAAGGCTACCAAATGTTGCATTTTAACAATTGTGATCAGAATCAAAATCTAAAAATTTGAATTTGTTGTATCATAAATGATACTTTATTATACTGTATTCATTATAAGAAGGTAGTAGATGGCGCTGTGTTTGAAGATAAGCACACACAGGAAAAATATAAAACGACACCAAGTTATTGTAAAGTAGAAATATCCATCACTGCAAACAGAAATAAATCTTTGACATTAACAGTTAATGACACTTCAACAGTTAGATGGCATCAGAAACTACCAGCTTACAAAATTCGCCACTCGTTTTATGTTTCAGTGTAATATACTGACTCGTATTTTAACCAATCACACTGAAGGTCAAAGCTTCCCTATGCTTTCTACCGCTACCTGGCTTAAAATGAATACAGTATAGTGTAGTTTATCACAAGATATTTACACAACTCAAATTAATAGTATACAAATCTTATCCTTGCCTTCCTATTTCAATGTTAGCTATGTCTTTAATTCTTGGACAGTACTTTAGTCTTGTTATCTTTATTCAATTGTTATCTAGAATTTTATTCTAATATTATCTGGGAGGTCATTTTGGTTTTTGGCGGTAATCACGTCTTTTGCGAATGCACATGCTACAGTTTCTATCTGCATTGTTTTTGTACCCATTGTACAGTTTTTTCTTTATCGTACTGTCGCATTGTTTAATTATGGTTTCCATTTTTTATCACCTTACCCATATGGGAATTCCACTTTGTAACCTCTTCATTCCCAGGTAATTTGACCTCTTCACTCTAAAGGTACCTTTACACTATAATATATCTCACATGATTTTTTATATGATATGTTATATGATATTTACTACCAACATATTTTTCGTATGAGTTTTAATGTTTTACTTTACACTTGACAGGTTTTTCATATGACTTTAATACAAGAAGTTACGAAACCTATATAACTTCTCTAAATTAAAATGTTCCAAGTTCCAAGATTGGGCTACTAGTTCAAAAGTTACAGCCCTTTGAATTTTCTTTCGAAATTGGTTTCTAGTCTATAACTTTTGATAGAGAAGTCTGATCGAAAAAGTACGAATTGTTTTGGATTCTACGCACCAAAATTAATAAGAAAAAGTGTTTTCCCGAGAAATTTTGGTGCAGTCGATTTTTTGGTAAAAAAGGAAGGTTATACACTGCCTTTTTTTGAGGCCCGAAAAGAAAATTGTCTCAGATCGACCCGGAAAAAAAAATTTCTTATAGAATGTGGCCTGTAGAATCCATAATTTCAAACAGTTCCAAGGTTGGGCTACTAGTTCAAAAGTTACAGCCCTTTGAATTTTCTTTCGAAATTGGTTTCTAGTCTATAACTTTTGATTGAGAAGTCTGATCGAAAAAGTGCGAATTGTTTTGGATTCTACGCACCAAAATTAATAAGAAAAAGTGTTTTCCCGAGAAATTTTGGTGCAGTCGATTTTTGGTAAAAAAGGAAGGTTACACTGCCTTTTTTTGAGCCCCGAAAAAAAAATTGTCTCAGATCGACCCGGAAAAAAATTTTCTTATAGAATGTGGCCTGTAGAATCCATAATTTCAAACAGTTCCAAGATTGGGCTACTAGTTCAAAAGTTACAGCCCTTTGAATTTTCTTTCGAAATTGGTTTCTAGTCTATAACTTTTGATTGAGAAGTCTGATCGAAAAAGTACGAATTGTTTTGGATTCTACGCACCAAAATTAATAAGAAAAAGTGTTTTACCGAGAAATTTTGGTGCAGTCGATTTTTGGTAAAAAAGGAAGGTTATACACTGCCTTTTTTTGAGCCCCGAAAAAAAAATTGTCTCAGATCGACCCGAAAAAAAATTTTCTTATAGAATGTGGCCTGTAGAATCCATAATTTCAAACAGTTCCAAGATTGGGCTACTAGTTCAAAAGTTACAGCCCTTTGAATTTTCTTTCGAAATTGGTTTCTAGTCTATAACTTTTGATTGAGAAGTCTGATCGAAAAAGTACGAATTGTTTTGGATTCTACGCACCAAAATTAATAAGAAAAAGTGTTTTCCCGAGAAATTTTGGTGCAGTCGATTTTTGGAAAAAAGGAAGGTTATACACTGCCTTTTTTTGCCCCGAAAAAAAAATTCTCAGATCGACCCGGAAAAAAATTTTTCTTATAGAACGTGGCCTGTAGAATCCATAATTTCAAACAGTTCCAAGATTGGGCTACTAGTTCAAAAGTTACAGCTAGGGAATGCAATTCCGCAGCAAAATCTCAATCCCGGCATTTGCGGGATCGTTAGATGTTAATCCCGCGGGAACCCGGTATTTGCGGGATCCCGCAAAATTTTAAATAAATTGGCAAATAAGCAATTTTGTGCGGTTAACTTCTGTATTAAAATAAATCGCTATAATTATCACAATAAGTATTCAACAAAAAAGTACCTTCAGGCTAACTTAGAACTCAAAAAAATCACCTGTAAAGCACAAATAGGTGAACGTCTAAAGTGCCTCAAAAATCATAGTACATTTTTAACGAAAAAAGTTTAACAATTATTTTAAAAAAAATTTCTCCGTTATGCGTTTCATTAACAAGGCAAACAGAGTCGTCCCCTTGGTCGACATTAAGGATGAGTGTACCCTTATTTGAAAGATTACCCCAAACATTTGAAGGGTTAATTACCAATCAAGACACTATTTGACAATGTGTGTCTGAAAACACCACTACAACCAGACAACCAAATACCAATATACTCGTAAATATTTATTGCTCGATTTATTGTTTATGTAATTTATTCTTTCATTAGTAACTAATATACCTATAATCATTGATTATACACACCTATAATCAATGATATAATCAAAAGTTTACTGGTTTACTCAAGTATTCAGCTTTTTCAGATAAGTACAACAGCAAAATGCGAAAAGTAACCATAAAAAGGGCGGGATCACTTGGATATTTAAAATAATAAGTCATGTCATTTGTCATGCAGAAATAGGAACATCCCTATTCCACGATTTACGTATTATATCCATATTATTTCCTTATGATTTGTGTTATGACAGCCATAATACCAAAAATAGTATATAGTGTAAACACAAATCTAAATGCTTATACTTATCATATGACAAATCACATGAGAAGTATGATAGTGTAAAGGTACCTTAAGAGCAATGGTGGTGCCCCCCCCCCCCCTATAGTAGTGGGTGCACTTTTGTTGAGCTTCCTCCTTCTGATAAAATACCCCACCACCAGCGTTTAGAGCGGATCAATGCTTAGCTGTTATCTGTACACCACCTCTGTTCAGAGGCTTTTGCAATTTCTCAGATACCACTATATCGTGTTTATCAGAGATTACTATAGCCAGATTGTCTGCATACCTTTATGGTTCAGTATGGTAGAGCATTGGGCTATAAAGCCGGAGGTCGGGTGTTCGAAGCTGGGTTGAGGTGAATTTTTCATCTGTGGCAGCGATGGGAATTACCTTAGATCAGTTTCCAGCATATACTCTGCCGGCTACTCCGAATTAGGCTTTCCTGCAGTTTTCCTAATTCGTAAGGTAAATACAGTAGTAGTAAAACAACTACATTCTGCAGAGGCACCTCTAAAAAGCATTATGCGGGTCACTCTGTAATTGGACGCAAGCCTGTTGAGCTTGAGGGCCCAGAATAAGAGAGCGATAATAAATAAATAAATACCCCTGCACATATAGTAATCTTTATTTGTGTTAGCGTGGTTATTAGGTCCTCAACCACAAGGTCCACAAGTGACCATAGCAAGGGCGAGGGGGGTACTCCCCCTCCCCTGTTGAGGGCACCCTCTTTTGGTGACTGACTCCTCGTCTAGCCTTGCCCGTTATCTTCCTGCTCCTCAACATGGACTTTATTGAGTCCATTGTTGTAATGCGGTTAGAGCCATGTGTTTTCAAGTTTCTATTCTATGTTAAACTATGTAGGACTGTGATTGCCGATTTCCCTATTTGATAGGCGTGTTATTGGGGGCGAAGTGGATGTTTTGTTAGAATCTCGCCTCTCAGACTTTTTCCATCCCCTTCAACGGGAATGAACTGAGGCTGATGGGTCTTTACGCCTTGGGCAGGTCGATGCGTCCTGACCCTTTTGGTATGAACACCGTATTCACCTGTGCTCTGTGTAGAGCTTACATATAGTTTGCAGTATGTGTCCAACAACCTTTTAGAAAAAGTGCTGGAAAGATACAGTCTCCACCAGGCGCCTTAAAGGGTTTGAAGACCATTAGGGCCTATCTACCCCCTCCTGTGTTAATATTCCCAATGCCATTGCAGTGATCTTGTACGACTTCCTGTAGGCGCGATGCTCTTGGTATCGAATCGATTCCTTCACATAATTTGCGCCAAGTCCTTCTTTGGACACTTCTTATCGCGAAATTGTACTCGGTTAGGGCGCTTCTGTATACTCTGCCGATGTTTCTTCACGCCTCTGTCGTTCGGGCTTTGTTGAATACCTACTTTTCTAGTTCCTCATTCCACCAGGGTACGTTCCTCGTTAACTCTTTAGTTTTTTTTCATTTCCCATACGAAAGTAAATCTATCACCTAGACAAAGTATTTTATTAAACCGATTGAGCTGTGTTATCCTTAGCAATACCCTATTTTTCACGATAAGAATTGTAATCAATATTTATCTTTTGATTTAACATACTTTACTGGTAACAGTGTTCACAATTTTCTATTATCGCTTGGAGACAGTCCACACTCAAGGTAAGTACGGTAAGATAACAGCCAAATGAATATCCTTTTTTGCAATCTTAACCGTTACTTCGATACAGCTATTTGATTGTGTAAAGTAAGGGCTACTATAATTATGTAACAAAAATCATAATCGCGAGCGCACACTTTTTAAATTCTACCTGAAATAGGACCGTGCAGTCTCACACTCACTGATGCCATGAATCATTTAAATAAATCTAAAAGGCATTTTGCGCATATCTCCGGCCTGTATCAGACAGTATAAGCGCGAAGCATAGGCGACAATCACGTTTTTTTAGACTGTATCATACAGACACCTAGACAGGACATGATTTTTATTTCAGAACGGAGTATGTAAAGTTGCCTATTCTTAAATCGACTATTCAAACAAAAATTGTCATACTGTGATGAAAACTGTCATCTCATTGTCAACACAAAAAAGATACTATTTTTCCCATCTAAACAAAACTTGTAACCAATGAATAAGTCATTGCTTGTAACCGAATAATTATTATACAAATCCTGCCGGGAGACTTGATGTATTGTGGGTTGCCTATCAGCAACACTTAATTTTCGCGCTCTCTGTGGTTTTTCCAAGATAACTTTATAAATGAAGTTGGGACCATTTCCAAAATTGCTGCAAGTTCGCTTTGACCACTATACATAATGGAGGCCTCTACTGCATCTACATTTTCAGGCTGTGAGGGCCACCTTGCGACGGAAAATTTAGGGTGTGATGGGTAGTGATACAGGATCTTGGCACTCCAATCGAAAGACAAATAAATATTAATAGTCTTATTTGTAACAAATTTACAAAACAACAATAGTGATGATTAAGAGAAAAGTTACATTGTAAATCTATATACACTTCTAATAAGATTAACAATAAATTACGAATTAATGTACATTTCAATCACACCTTTGCCATACAATGAATAACAGTGAATAAAGAATTCCCATCAAAACGATAGTATTACAATCATACCTACTACAGAACGATCACTGTAAGCAGCTCTAAGTTAAGTGCTGCTCGAATTGGTATTATCTCTACACTGCTTGCAATTTATTACTGACGTACGACGTCGTTAGTTATAATAGGAATCTTAAGTACCTATCGGTAGAGTTCTTTGGTACCTACTAACAATTAAATAAATAATTAAGGAATACTGTTTACAATGAGAATATTTACGTGGTGTCAATCACCATAATTACCTACTTACTGAAATCATTTTGCTTGTTACTACTAGTACTTTATCTACACGCTGTTCAAATTTGTACAGAACTAGCCAACATTAGATCCAAAAGTCCAAAAATACCTTGCTCAAAAGTATCTCATATTCACCTACTTCTGAAGACTCTGGAGAAAGTGTATGTTGGAATTATTTGCTTATACATAGATCAGAACACTAACCTACCATGTTCATGAAGATAAAGGAACGACATATATAAAAATTAAAACTATTCCAAATTGAGCATACTTAGCTACCTAAACTATCTTAAATAAACAACGCGCGATTGCATAAACATGTTTAGTACTGCGAAGATGGGGAATGTTGTGAAATTGAATGATGAAAAGAAGTAGAAGTTGACGCAGCCGGTTTCGCGGTAGCGCCGTAGCCATTGACAGTGGAAGTTTTTGACGAAGCGTTGGCTGCAGTATTGTGGTATGCAACAGTGCTAGTAGTATTACTTCTCTTTGTAGAACCATAATAGCTATTATACATGGAGTCATCTGTGGGAGGATGGCGAGAAAGGTTTGTTGGCATTCCGTACATTGATTCTGGTCGGTTTCGGGCAATCTTTGTGTTATCTTCGTATTTGGTATTTTCCGCGTCAGAGGAATTATTTCGGCCAGTGTTGCTCACAGTACCGTAAACGTCTGGACGTGATGTTGCGCCTATTGTTTGCATTGGACGACCAGTAAAAGTCGTCTCTGATCGCTGTTGCATTTGGTTTTGCACGTTTTGGTTCTGAGTGTGATTTTGTTGCTGGCTAAGACGCATGGGATACAAAGATTGGGCGGGTACTAAAGGACCCGGTCTTGGTAATGTGTCCCTAGTCGCACCATTGTTTGATTTGGTGTAGACAGATTGAGAACGATTCAAATTTGCACGTGTCAAGGGGGGTGACTTGCAGTACAGTGATTTTGTACCACCATAAAGAGACTCCACTCGCTCCAACTTGCACAGTGGAGCCGAGTATAAGCTGGCAGACATCAAACTAGGACAGTAGCCCGATCCCGATGTTACAACTGTGTTTCCGGTCTGCCTGTAGCTGCTATACTTGTTAGGTGCAGGTTTTTCTAAATCATCATAAGGATCTTCGTCCGATTGTATGCTGGAGGAATCACCATCGGCCGAGTCTTTACAACACTTTCGTCTTCGAGGATTTAGAACAAATCTATAGATGACCCCTGAAATCAATCCACCTGCTAATGGACCAATCCAGTGCACCCAATGGTTTTCCCATTTACTCAACACAAACGATGGTCCCAGAGATCTTGCGGGGTTTAGGTATGGCATCTGCAAAAATTGAAGATTTACTTATATATGGGACTTTACTATATAATATTACCGAAACTAATGTACATGCTGCATAGGAGGCTCCAATAGTTAGGGATGAGCTTCCCAACCACTTGGTGTAAGTATCCATGGTCATCAGGTAGGTAAGAACCACTATAAACGTTAGGATTAGCTCCACAACAAATCTTTCCCATGTCACAATATTGCTAGTATGCATTAATGCGATTGATAAATTGGTTTGGTAGCCTGGTATAGTCATCCTGAAAAGAAGTTTAAATGTCAACATTTTTTTTTCTATGCTAAATTATTCAAATTGAATTCCCAGCCCATTATATGTATGTAGGCATATGTATTATAGGTACATCAGCCCCACCAAAATATGGGTTAAAGAAACAAATAATTACAAACATTCTATAAATATAGCATAATACACAAAACATGCACGTATTTTGGTTTACTTCCCATCAGCTGCACACTTAAGTTCAAAACCCTTGTACATGTTTTGATTAATTCAAACCCACCAGATGTTTATTTTTATTTATACTTAGTGAGCTGTACACTACTATACTTTGTTGGATTACTTTACAATCTGCAGCTTGGAAAATGTGACACCTGGACATTTAAGATCGCTTTTTCTTAATTACCATTTTTCAAAACGCAATGATAAGGTAATTGTGCCTATAACTTCATCCCAATTTGGTATACCTTTTTTGATGCGCTAATTACATGCTAATTAGCAGTTTTACCTACAGAGAATTACAATTGTTGAGTTCCATTTCTAAAGGAACCAATGTACTGGATGCAACAGGTAAGTATGCTGGGTAGTGGAAGGGACCAAAAATATTCCTTTTCCACACAAAAACTTCAAAATTTTGCGTTTTTTGTTTAATTTCTTTATGAGCTTATCCTCTAAAAAGGTGGTTCGAAAAAATCCCTGTCTCGATAAAATTTCGTATTTCACGAAATTTTCTGGATACACCCTTACTTATGTGTCTAATATTAGAATTGCAAAACTGTTGAATAACTTTCTCAAAAGATTATTCAAGAAAAGTGTATGCGCCTCGTCCAAAAGTGGCCGCGCATGCTCAATTGCGTGTATTAGGAGTAAAGTAAAGTAATTCTTTTATGATACGCATGATTTGTGCGTCAGTGCATCTTGAAAATTTTCTTCGAGTAATAAGAATTCTTAATGGAGCTAGACGGTGTATGACACCAAGTAGTTTTGTACATTAGGTCATAGGTCGTCCAAACTTTTACTTTCCCATAGAGAGTAGCGCCATACTATTACAACATTTAATTATGAGAGGGGTAGGTAATTGAATAAATGTTTAAGGAAGAAGAATTAGCACTATCCGAGTAAGTTCCGCTACCAATGGGTGAACGTGTGTAGTTAAGAGAACTATTTAGTTAATTTAGTTATCGCAAGCCGAAGGTTTTGACTCTATACTTGTCTTTGAAAATGCAGAGCCAAAAAGTTGCTGCCCTAAAACTGCCCAAACCTCCAAAATAAGGGTTTCTTTCGGTTTCTTTTATAATTACAATTACAAAGAACATATGAATGGCCGCTTTTCAGTGTTAGTAAATATTCCTTAAACCTCAAGCAACTATGCAGACGAATAAAGGAAATTTGCGCATGCGCAACCCAACTTTTGTATTTGTATGTTTTTTATTTGTTTAGATACCTAAATGAAATTTTGTATGTAGACACCTCGACCAAAACTAATGCCGAATTAGAAGACTTGTTTTGCGCATGCGCAATCCAATTTTTTTATTTGTTACCTCGAATAAAAGTAATGCAGAATTAACAAAATTTGTTCTGGTTGATCTGGCGGGACAGCACCAGCACCGGCACTAGCCTATGAGCCCAATTTACACATTGCTTTTGATGTTCTGGTAACTTCATGAACCCGGTTTAGATCTGTTGCTATGGTACATTATTAGTTTGTGCACAAATTTTTTCCTGTTCCTTGGGTTGTGTTTCGGGATTAAGTTTTTGAAGGGCTAAATAGGGTGGGTCAATTTTTTTAGAAATTTTATATTGAATAAGTAATTGGTCAGACAGAGAACTATGTAGATATGGATCGTTTATACGTGCATTGAGTTGAGAATGATTTTTTTAAAAATCGGGATTGGTATGGATTATACTACTGTAACATTCAGTAAACATAGGTCATTCTTTAGCACCTTTACCACATTTAGGAAGATGCATTTCGGGCACTTGCAGAGAAACGTTAACTTCAAACTTACCCAATTAAATTTACCATGCAAAATGGGTGTGAGAATATCTATACGCGAATCTCATAGTCGTAGGGAAATGAACATTGAATCTCTCTTTCGTGGGGGGTATATTCCATACCGTACCGTGTATTCTTTCAAAAAGGTTTAGCAACCCCAACATTTGTCTGAAGAATCCTTAAGGCGGAACATTTTGAGGGAAATAATATCACCAGGGGGTTGGAATACCCTCCAGCATACGATAATCTCATGATACTCATAAGGAAATGAACATTTTGAAGCTCTCCTACCTGGAGGTATTCCGTACTCGCCAGACCCAGACTTCAAGAATGAGTACCCTTGGCATTTATCAAAAGAAACATTAAAGGCGAACGTGTAGAGGGAGAAAATATCACCGGGGGGTTTGTGTGGGTGTGGGACACTGGACAGTATACGAAGCTCTCATGATAGATTGTCGGGAAATGGACATTGAATTTTTGTTTCCTTGGTCTAGGAGGTATGGACACCAATGAATCCCTCTTACCTGGGAGGTATTATATACCCCCCCGGTTGTGTATTCTCCAAACTTAGTACACTTGGCATTTTTCAAAAATACCCTCAAGGCTGAACGTTTTGAGAAAAAATATCACCCCACAGTAGGTACACGACGTTCTCTTATAGTTGTAGGGAAATGAACATTCAATCCATACCCCCCAGACACCCCCCGGTTGTGTATTCTTCCAGAATTAGAGAAAATATGGATATTCTAATATTCTATCAGATGAGTAAGTATACCTAGTGGTTTTGGCACAACAGTTGACCTAGGTATACTGGAATTCACAAAACTCGGCAATATTCTAAGAAACTGCTGCGTTTACCTAGTCACAAAATCGTTTTTTCAAAAAACATTCTTGTTTTTCGGCTCAAAATTTTGTAATTATTTTTGTAACCATTACTCACAAAGTGTATTTGAACTATCCGTTCGGGTGTTAAAAAAAAGAGCTAAGGAATTTTTATTTACTAAAACGACTACTGAGTTGGAAAACACGTGTCTTATTTTAAGTCAATTCTACAGTCTCATTAATTTTGCTTGGTTTATGTTATACATCTGCACTTACACCAAAGCTTCACTAGCGATACGTTGCGCACAATTTATCTAGCTGACAATATTCATTAAATTTAATAGCTATATCTCTTGATCCCTATTTAGATTTCTCTATGTGTGTAGGTATCTGTATAGTGTTTGTAGCATAGCATTGGATTTGCTTATCCTTCCAGTGTTCAGAGTAATTTTTTCTCATTACTCGTACTGGTGTAGTATTATTTCACCTAGTTAAACAATGATAAAGGTATATTTTCACCTTTTCCCCAATATAAAACCCGCTTACGTTCACTCCTTATTAATTAATTAGTGTTTGTAATATTGTAAAACAATTAACGATTAAGATTTATAATTATTGATATGATTTATTTTCATTATGTTCAATATTTATTATGTAATTATGTAGTTGCTGACATTTTGTATAACCAACTACCTACGTATTAAGATTTATAATTATAAAAATTCACTTGTATTGACATTAATTTCTAAACATATCTATATTTGGTACCAAAATGTATATACTTTATATTATGTGTATTTTTATTTTGATAATTCCTGTAATAGGCATTATTGCTGTTGGAATTAAATACTGAATAAATAAATAAATATTTTGTAGGGTTGAAAGAATATAGATAGGTAGAAATAAAGAGAAGAGGGGATGGTTAACTTTTCTACTGATCAGATGAGAGGTACTAATGCCAAAAAATTGTACCAGCACACCTATGTCATCTTATCAAATACAAAATTTCCCAAAAAAATGTATACCTGCTCCATGCTAAGTGAAATAAAACTACAGTAAAATCGAACTATGTATATTCAAGGGCTTATACAATTATTATTATTATTATCAGCAACCGTATAGCTTCCAGAAAGAATGAACTAATGCTAACGTATAGGTTTTTTGGGTGCGCTGCACTATGTCTGTACAAGTTCTTCAAAAATTCCCAACCCTCGACAAAATGAAACAGATATCCGCAACCTTTCTGGATAAAAATCTCACCACGTTCAGGAATCACACGATTATGGTCAAGATAAATCCTTCGGAAACAGAATTGGAAATTTAAATTAAGTCAATGGCGAGGTGGTGATCAACGCAGTGCTTTTTTGTACTTATAGCTGTCAATATACCTATTCGTCAATTAGCTACATGTGGAGTGGAACCACTTGTACAACATAACGGGAATGTTTAGATTGAAAAAGTCTACGTCCGTAGGTACAACGCGTCTTTTGGGAAAAAGATCTCGCTAATAATGATATCATCGTTGATAACTTCAAAGGAAGTATACCGCACTTGTTAGTCAGAGGCCGAAAATGATGTGCCAATGAGGATTAGAGTTAAATTGGCAATGATGAGGGAACAATTGGTTTTAATTTAATGGGGTGTGGGTGTGACCCCTAAAGCCTTTTTTCCATACCGTTCTCTATTTCTTTGTTATTAAATAAAACGAGGTCCCTCGTGTGCACTGCACCCAGCCCAACACGCGCGTGCAGTTTAACAATGGGACAAAAATGAACTCTATCACATGCATGCAGATGTGCGTAAATAATACGAATTTACCGCCTGCAAAAAAAAGAGACATTTAAAAGTTGTTACAAGTTTAAAACAAGTTTGATATGTAAATAGGAATCAGGATCTAAGTTGAATCTCTGTAATTACTCGACTGAGGTAGTAATCCCCAAAAATCATTTCGGAGGATTTTCTTACTATTGCGTCCCGTTATATTGCTTTCAGATTTCAAATATGTCATATATTACGAATAAACTGGAAAAGCCGAAAAAGCGGCTTTAGCGCATTCCATCTTTCTCCTTTACGAGGCGGTCTGATTTAAAATACATAACGAAGAAATCTTAATTATGTTCCAAAGTAAATTACTAACGGGCAAGGTCAATGAAAGCAACAGATGCCTGAGACGAAACATTCTGTCCAATAAGCCGTGGCCGACGATGCTTGCAGCTGCTCTTCAGAGGTTCTCAAACTTGGACTAATTTATTAACTTTAAGTAGGTAATTACGGACCACTAAAAATAATTAAATTATGTACTAGCAGATAGGAAGTACTATTTTATGAACTTACACTTGAGGTTACACTTAACCACATCGTCAATTTAATTACCGATAAGGGTGCAGATTCTTTTGAAATACATCATCTCATGGGATGTAACAGATGTCATCCAGATGCAACGCTCTTATATCTTTGTTTTTTTAAGAATTCACTCGCCGAAAAACAAATGTCTACTAAAATTTAATACTAAGTAAATTAACGCAATTATAAAACCCAAGAAGAAATTTCCGGTAGTTGAATTTCCTCGGTTCTTTTATTTTCGAACCTGCTCAATGTAGAACACGATTCATGCATGTTTTGTTTTATTTAGAATAAGGAAGTTTCGAAAAGACAGCTGCAAGTTGTGATATTCACTAAATATCTCAGGTAAATGTGGTTCAGTTCAGGTAAAGATTCTATACACGAACGAACCTCCCGTTCCTCAATTAGGTAGGTACGTAATTTAACAAGGCGCGCTGGTATTAAAAGAAAAAATTACCACACATACCCGTATAAAAAAGCAGCTCCCGCAATTCCACCTCCGCATTGAGCGATGATAAACATAACGGCGCGGATGAACGTAATATTTTTGGTAATGGTCAGTGCCACCGTAATCGCCGGATTAATGTGGGCCCCTGTAAGTGTAATGTAAGCAATTCTCTTTCAATGTTTGCGAAGTTCTTACCGCTTATATGAGCGAAGCATTGTGTCAAAGTGCACATCGAGAGCCCCGCAGCCAAAGCTGTTGCGAAGAGAACGGAAGCCTCGGAAGCACCGACACCGGCACTTGCTGTAGCTCCGCAAACAATAAAAACATAACAAAACGATGCAATACATTCACAAATAACACACCGCCAAAATTCTAATGAACGCAATTCATTTCGAAACGAAATTTTCCAAAATTTCGGAGTCATGTATACGGTCTCATTTCTAAGCGCGTCAATCTTTTCAAATAATGTCACTATGTAATATTCTAAATTGTCGTCCGGTAAATGTAAACTTTCGTCGCCCATCGCAATTTTCAACAAATATTTCACCGAAAAACACGATGAAGAGCGGACACCGACCAGCAACCACTACAAGCACTAGCACAAGTTGGTATCTTCGAGAGAAATTTCAGAAGCGCGCTCACGTGTTATCCCCACCTACGTCAATACAACTTCTTTCATCCCCTTGCTATCATATATGGTGCATAGAAAAAACCTTACTGCTCAAATTTGAGACAGAATGGTAATTGTTTGCGAAGTGGTGGGTAGCCGGATGTATCACTGTCGAAGTGTAGGGGACGGGGAGCGTTCCTTCCAAATTGTTTCAATCTGAATTTTTCTTTGGGTCGATATAGGCAATTTATAATTATAATTTAAGCTTCTGGAGAAACTTTAATTTTTCTGTGTCATATGGATGAGAATTTGTTAATTGTTAAAATGGAACGGAGAAATGTAGGTTTTAATTTGAGTTAGGCATGAATTAATTCACGAATTATTTATTACCTAATTCGGAATAGCTGGCAGAAGCCGAAAATAAAAAAAAAACCCATAGCTTTTTGATTTACACGGCGCCAGAACTCCAGGCAAAGCTCCTTGCAAGGAACCTTGCTTGTGTTTCTTCTTACATTTTCAGTTACAAAAGTAAAAATCCTTTCTTATTTAGCGAAAACTTCATTACAGAAACCATCAGATTATTCATGAAGGGCTATACTTGGAACTCTAATCGAAATTCAAAATTTATACAAAACCAGTGCCTATCTGGTAAGGTAAACAAGGCGCATTTTCACAATTATATTTTTTTTTCTCTTCCACTATAGGGATCTCGCGTAAAGCGTGACAGATACAAAGTCGGTTAAATAGGCAAAAGTTACGCAGAATTTGTATGCTGATTAATTATAATAATTTCTCATAACTCTACAAATACCAAAGTTATGGCGTAAAGACGAAAAACTGTCATTTTTGAAAATGCGCTGGCGTTAATTTATTTTCAAAGATATCAAAAAATACTTTTAACAAACCCTTAGTGATTTTTTCTCACCTTTCTGAAGGTATTATTAAATTAATAAATTAATATTTTTGTGACTTTGGTTTTCGAATAAATCACATCTACTTTCTTATTTCTTATGGATGCCATCAGGGGCGGACTAGCACGGGGGGGGGGGGGGGGGGGGG